GATGCACATTACCTTGAAAGCTTTCGTGTCTATCGTGAAAGATCGAGCGAAAGTAAGAAATTATTTGAGAGCTTCCAGACTCACATACCACCATTAATTCAAAGCCGAATGGTTCCCGAGTGTCAACGATTAAATATTTTGAGCGTTGGAAGTGCCGAAGGGACGACAGATCTAATGATCCTTAAAATTATCGGGCAAGAAGTTCAGAAGAGTGAACACGGTCAACGTATAGAAATCTTCAACCGAGCCATTGAGCCTAATGGCTCTTCCTGCGACCTCTACAGAGAAGCTATCAAAAATCTTTCAAGTCCACTCGGTAAAACACAAACTTTTTTTGAAATCTGCCAGCAGACCTTTGATGATTACCAAGAAACCAAGAAAGATGAAATAAAGTTCGACCTCATACACTTCATACATAGTATTTACTACGTTGACAAGGAAGAGACTTTGATTCGCTGCATTGAAAAAGAACTAAGTGATAAGGGACATTTCCTCAGCGTGGTTCAGACAACTCAAGATCTTAACTATTTGGTATTTTCAAAGCAAAAACGACCCACAAAGGAAATAAGTGAAAAATCTGAAAAGTTGATCCAGATCGCCAAGAAGCATAACTGGAACTATGAGGTGCACACCTCAGAATACGCGATTGACTTCACCCACGTTTTTGACCCCAAGTCAACTGAAGGAAATCTGCTGCTGGACTTCATGACGCACACCGTGGATTATCGCAACACCGCTGACAAACAACTGGTGCAAGAAACACTGGCTTTTATCGACGAAAAGACTGTTCTGAAGGACGGTAAAAAAATTGGCAAGGGGGAGTTCTCTCTAGTTGTCATCAGCAAAAGATGCGACATGTGATAGTTACGTCTACTATATCAAGTATTAAATGATGTAACAAGATGGGTAGCGTAAAGAAATACCTTAGTAAAAATAACGAATGCCGTCATAGTTACTGTGTTGCAGTAGGGTCTCTTTTAGGGATCACATGAAGCGTAAGCCACGCCCAGATTGGTATCCTTAAAGGATTTTGATTTGACGACAGGAAAAAATGGCGGTGTTGCATAGTGTGTTACTGAAATATGTAAGGTCTCAGGTAAGCAAATTTGGGCTTCTTTTAAGCGCGCAACGACATTGGAGTTTGATGACCCTGACACTTTTCTGGGGATCGTTGTCTTGAGACTTTTTTTCTTAGAGCTCCAAAGCCCTTTTTATAAAACCTGGTGTACGTTGGGTCCTAAAGAGACCTCGAAAGAGATCGATATATATTGCTTAGTTATTCCCTGCCATTGTGATCTGGAGCTAGAGATTGTTCTTATATTTTGATTGGCGGTAACTTAACATGACAAAGGCTTTCATCACCGAGACTACCAAATTTATGTATATTTATGTAAGAACAGGCGCGGATCTACACCGGTTTCCACCGTTTTACGGAAATCGGTCAGATTTTTCATAAGAAACTTATTTTTAATAATAAGAACTTTCCAAGTTGAAATCTGGAAAATGGTCTGGACAAATGTTTTCTTTTTCCAATTTCTGGGAATTGGATGCCCTCCCCCCCCCCTCCAATGAATCAGAAACCCGGGAAAGCGAACTTTAGGAAGCTAGTATCCAAAAAAATTCCCGGCGATGCATGTCCCCGGGCTCCCCTAGAAGCTTGCTCTCTCGGCCCCTTGTTTAGGAAATCGGTCAGTATTTATGCTAGATCCGCGCCTGAAGAACTCTTTCTGACTATAATCATAACCATTACAATTTCCTAAAATTTGATTGGTGCATTTTTCACCACTTATTGTGAAGGGTTGTAATCGGACAGTTGGCTGTAATCGGCCAGCGACATTAGCCAATCATATCAAGTGCACTCAGCTAAATCCACCAACCACAGAATTTATCACAGTAACCATAGCAACAACCACTGGGGATTTTCCAAAATGGACGAATTTGTAACATCAGGCAGATCAGGCGGTGTCTCTGCCAATGTTATTTTCCCAAATTTGGATAGTTGGTATTAATAAAAATAAAATAATGCATTTGTTTTCTCGGAAATTGTAATGGTTATGATTCAATGGTAACAGGACTTCGAGTCGTCCAGTTCGGTCTATAATCATACTCTTGATTAAACAAATCCAGGGGCGGATCGAGGGGGAGGGTGCAGGGGGTGCGCACCCCCCTCCCCCCTGGGATGACCTGCGGTTTTCTAATACAACTGGTATTCTGCAAAAAAAAACTATGTGCTTTATTGGTGTTGAAGTAGAGCAAGAGACGAGTGCACCCCCTCCTAAAAAAAATCCTGGATCCGCCCCTGAAATCGGACGCACGCTACGCGGTCGTGCGATTTTGTTTATCCCTTGTATGATTAAAGACCGTGTTGGACTCCACTCAGTTCTATCAGCTTGTGGAGGCAGTGTGGCAGAGCGGTTAGAGCGCTGGACTTGCAATTCAGAGGTAGTTGGGATTCTTAACCCTGTTATGTTTGATTTAAATTATTTGTGTCAGTCATTTGCTCGGCGCCACTAGCATAAGTGCTATAAATACTGCCGAGGGTAATTAAAGGAATGATTGTTATTATTATTATTATTATTATTATTATTATTATTATTATTATTATTATTATTACTATTATTATTATTATTATTATTATTATTATTATTATTATTATCTCGCAGTATAAAACTTTGGAATGCTGTCCACATTATGAGTAGTATAGGGCGCATAACGGGTCAGGCTGATTAGTTCTGATAATATTATTACTCATCCAGTTACCTATACTATGATTTAGAGTAGCCAAAACCAGAAAGAGAATTTGCAAGCATTTTAGCCAGCACATCTAACAGCTTCAAACCCTCAGCCCCACCTAAGCAAACCGCCCTGTGCTAACAGGGACTCCGGGGCAAACAACCACAACAGCCTTAATCAGCCCTACATGAACAAAGACAACAAAGCCGTGGTCAGGGAGTCGTAGGCCTTCTGCTCTTGTTTATTGGGTGGATGTGGTATATGAGGTGGAAAGCATTCCCGGGGGTTACTCCTTGGATGTCTTTCTGGGGTGTTCCGCCCTGTTATTGAAATCCTGACCCTATTTCAGACCAAAAACTGTCAGTCTTCACACCCGTTTTCATACTTGGCCTCTAAAATCCATGAACTTTTTCAGACCTAGTGTAGGCAGAAATCATGTCATCATTACTTAGAAATGGGCGAAGTCTATACCCGTTTTCTGCCTGAGACGGCGCAAAAACCCTACCCTTAGGGGAGGCATATCCCTATATGGAATATAAAGGAGTACCAACCCCCCCCCCCCGCCACCTTACCAACCCGACCCTTTTTGTTATTCCAGTTTTAAATTATAGCTGCTTGATAATCATTCCCAGCTGGCTTTGGTATAATACGACCCCAGTCGCCTGGTCCACAGATCTTCATTTCAAGTGTCCATTTACCACAGACCCAGAAGTGACGAAACAGTCTAGAAGCGAAACAACTATAAAAAATATAATAAGGGTTATTACAGAAGTATAATCAAACCGAGAAAACCGTGAACACCAAAATTATTTCTGAAACGTTATTGTGTTTGAAGGGAAAAGCCAACGAGGCGTGAAAAAAACTAAACCGCGAGCAATAAGTTTAATTAGTTTTTGATTTTGTTGCTAGCTTGCATGCCCTGATCTTTGTTGTGATTGGTCATAACACAATTAACATTCCTGAGTTATTGCAATTGTTCGCCGTTTTGTCGGTTTGATTGTAAACGTATTTTGGCTCAGGTCAATGTTTTCAACTCGCTTAACTATCGGACTTCATCCTCGAATCAAGTGCTTTCATTTATTTCAGCAACAAAAAAACAAATGTTACCAGAAGCAACTTCCACGTGCATTAATCCACTGATATATAAACGATGCCCGCACTCGGAAAACCAGTTTGAAGAGAAAAAACAAAGGGTTGTTTACCATTTGCAAAACCTTTCCGGAAAATCTGGTTGAATAGCAAACAAGGGTTTTGAAATGTCATCCGCGTCTTTGCGCCCCACCCCCCAACCGAGAGGGATGACATTCATGTCGTTCTAGTGTAAAATTTCAGGGAGCAACGGAACATCTGTAGAGGTACTTATCAGAGGGCTTACCATTTTTACGGAACTTTCGGTCAAAATTTTCCGACCAATGGTAGTAGTATTTTTTTTTTCGAACAGAAAACAGGAATACGGTTGAGCTGTACCATTTACAAAATATCGGTAAATCTTTCGCTTTCACTCGAAACTGGCACTGGAAGTCCACACAAATGGTACAGAAAATTTCGGTCGTTTTAGCCTGTGTGCACCCTTTCTTTCTTGCGCCCATTTATTTCCTAGTGCCTGCAACCCAGGCTACGGTTGTTCAAGTAAAAGCAAGAAAAAGGTTTCAATACCTCGCTAGATATTACCTTTTTTCCGAAAAATTTCTACCGGATTGAACCATTGCATTTGAATTTTTCCCTGAATTACCGGGTTTTCCTTACTGAAATGATAAGTGCTCCTTTCCGGACGGAATCAGTTCCAAACCGAGATCTACTAGATTCGAATTCCATTGGTAAAAACCCGCCTTTTACACCATATTCAGGCTTTTGCGGCCATCTTTCGGTAAAACGAATTGATATTGATTTGTGTAAATGATGAACACAATTCCGGAATGAAATTTAGTCCTGTGAATTTTTCTTAACATTTGCCGAAACCGAGAACCGACCGGTTTGCCAATGTAAACGATAAACAACCAGATTGACTAGTCCAGAAATTCGGGTTTTCGGCATCTTCAAAGGCTTGATGCGGTTCGGGCAGAGCGTCCCTTTCGCGGCTCACTCAAAAAGACCAAAGGAGGCTGTGCGCACAGGGTGTAGTTCTCCATAGAGTTCAGAGCTAAAATTTCAGAGTGTGGGAGCGGCGTCGCCATACAACAAAGGTAAGGTTGCCTCGTTAAAATATTGTGACACATTTACAGCTCCTTTAAGCAAAGACTAAAGTATAATGTTATAATTTTTTGTGGGGAGGTAGATAATGTTTGATTTATTGGGCATGTGATTGGGTAAAACGGATACGCTAGAAACGTTTGATATGATGTCCCAACAAGCAGCTAATGATGAAGTCAATTATTTTAACTGTATTTTATGTTTCTGCGGAATTTACGGTCTGGCAAACAGCTGATTCTGCACGCTTCTGCTGTGTGCAAAACAAGCAGAAAAGAAGACAGTGTTCAGTGAAAAACACAGCGCAAGTTTGTTTGAACAGTAAAATCACTGCCGTGGAACCTCGATAAAACGACCCTAACGAAGTCCTTGGTATCACGAACGATATTCTTCGCCCCAGTAATAGTAAAATATAAGGAACTGAACCTTGATATAACGAAGCCTCGTTAAAGTGAACACATTTTTCTATTCCTTTGGCCCTTTATGATATCGAGGTTTCACTGTACTTGAGCTGAGAGGAATAAACTGTCTTCCCATAACGCAATGCGTTTCAAAATGATTTCTCGAGATTTTCGTGACGTCATCATTCGGCTGAGGCGCTTGAACAATTCTGATCAACATGGCGTTGCTAGAGCGCGAAAATAAGCACACTTCGAATTTTGCAGCTCTTATAAATTCGCTACATTTCAAAAGACGATTACTCTATTCGCCTTTTTGGTCAGGGATGCATTGAACCTGTTTTTCGTCATGCCTGTGCTAGTTTTGTAAAAAAAAAATGACAGAAAGAGAGTTTAGTGGTACCACTCGAAATCATTCATAACCTAGAAGTTGATTTCCTCGAATGTAGTCTCCGCAGTCCTGGTTTGGTTTTTGGAATCACTAGCTGTAAATTAAAGGTAAGTAGAATGTACCATTCTTTAATTATTTAATCATAGAATTCTCCTTTCGTGGAGAGTTTTTGTCGTTCGTTCTGTGTTGTTGCTTTACGAGATTCGCGATATGCGCTCTCGTGTCAGTGAAGTACTTAAGTTGCTTTATCAAGATATAAACGGTAACTCACACTCCTAATATTTCTTTAGTTTACAGATCCTTAAAGAAGACGATGATTCTTATTAAGAAGGTGTTCTGGTACTTCCTTTGTAGTTTGTAAAATAGCGGAATTCCATTTTTGTAAACACTGATAGGCTTTGCAATGCAGTAGATCTCTGTAATGATTCAAATTCCTTTTGTACCCACTTATAAATTTGGTTGCATCTGGTGGTGTTGAGACACTTTCTGTTATAAATGAAAGAATTTTGCGAACATTAAGTTGAGTCCATATTACTGCCTACTTTACAACCATAACAAGAAAAATGGCCACCATTTTTAGGTCAGGACTGTAATTCTCCTGTTAAGATGTCTTAATAAAGTTTAATAAGTTACTCTTCCATCTTTGGAAGAAAGCTGGAAGACGGAATTGAAAAAAGGGCCATACGATACATGTAGCTTAAAAAACATCGTCTTTCAGTGGATACTACACACACAAAAAAGCTACCCAAAGGAAGATTTATAATCACGTATTGGAAGAGAAATCACTCCCTATCGAATAAACTTCAAGAGAGAGAAAAATCTCAAAAAGGGCTCATCGTAGTATCTTTTGTAGGAGACATTGCAAAAACACGGGTATGTTAACTTTATGTTCAGTTAATGGCTGTCTTCGCTTCTTTATCTCCTATAAGTTACTCCTAGCGTGGTATTAGATGAATGTCGAGTATACACTGGTCAATGTGTTCAAATGTGTTGCCCTATAATTATAAACTTGGAGGCTTTATTAACACATATCTTCACCAAAATGACCCAAGTAACATCCTGGTTAGGATACAAGTCTTGGAACAAGAAAAGATAGGTATCATTTTAAACTGGAATTAAAAAACATCTCATAAGCTCCTATAGCCGGTCTGCTCGCCACTTCTTTTTTCTACTTTTCCCATGTTATTTGTAGGTAAATTTCTATTATTGTGTGGCAAATAAAATAAAATAAATAATAAATTATAATAGCGCCAACTAAAGTATATTTTCTTTCTCCTTTCAGTATCGTGATCTCCAATAGAAATATATTCATAGCTAAACGAGATACAAGACAATGCAAAAAATAATGTCTTTAATCATATTTCAAACTTGTCATTGGAAGTAACAGTTAATTTCTTATTTACGTGCTATGTCATTGAGAATCCTCTACTGTATAAAATTTTGAATTGTAGACGGACTATTTCAATGTCTCTTACTGACAACATCGAGTAAACAATATCGTTTTCCAGTTTAGAAGTTATTATGTGCACGCTTGATTTTGCAGATTTGTTGAATAAGCACGTTAACCATACTTTCCTCAAACATTGTTAACTTAAAGGACTCATTTGATTCATGTTTTTGTAAAATAAAGTAGCTGAAGTGTACTGCCGTATATCGTCTTCCCTCACTTGTTACACTAACTCTCTAAGGCCACATATTTCACCCACATGAATTTTAGTTTGTATATTTGATAATTGTTTTTACTTGATTTGCATCTGGCATATCTTCGAAATCTTTCAATACCGTCTATTTCTTGGTTATTATAGATGCCTCTTGTTCAGTTATCTTAAAGAAGTCAGTTGGAATGTTAATTTTATAGTCGCTGAATGTTATAATTGAATTTTCGTTTAATGTTGTCTACTTCTCTCTTGAACGTTTGTACTCGTCCATGCTCTATTTTATATGTCTTTTCATCTTGTACCAATGAAATTTAAATTTCGCATAAAGTTGTTTTATCAGCAATAGTACTGTTCTAGCTTCATTAGTATACGGTGTTTTAAATGTGCTTCTTGTTTAGAATTAGGATTTTTTTATTTTTCCATGGGCGGAGACTTAATTGATTACATGTAATCAGGTATTTGCTTTAAGTTCTCTATTTTACTGATTGGTATTTCTTTGGGAATTTTGCAGTCGAATTCGCATTTATTAGTTATTTTTTCTATTTTAGTTCGTTTATTTATAACCTACGTCGCAGACAATCTTAATCTCGATAAATCGCTGATACAATATATCTATATCGAGTTCTCTATCTAGGTGTTTAGTGACAGTCCTGCTGCAACGGAGGCTAGTTTATTTACAGCTATCGAGTATTATATGATCGTTTTAATGAATAATGAGAAAATAATATTGCTTTGTGTGTGTCCTCTTTTTTCTAAATACGCTATTGCAAATAAATTTCAAAACAAACAGCATCTAGCATAAATGTGAGCTTGGCCTTTGAGGCTCTCGCTAGCTGAAATGAGACAACATTATATTGTGGTAATGATGTTTAAAGTAAGAAATGGCCTCTGTCTTTCTTATGTCAGTCTGAGATGTTTAAAGTTAACTCAAATCTGTACAATGACCTTCGGTCTTTTAGATTAAATTTTCAACTGCGAGAAGCAATACAAACTATTTAAGAATAGTTTTGCTTTCACGGCTTATAATTCCCTCCCTTCTAATTGGTTCAGAGGAAGAAATGACGTCTGTGAAACCAATTTAAAGCTAAGATCAGGTCGTACATACTCTCTAAACAAGCATTTTAAATTCTCTTCTCTGTTAGTTTATATAGTGAGTGATCTGTTCTTAGTTTAGTTTAAGATATAGACACATTCCATGCAATTTGATTTATTAAGCACTGGTTTTAGGAAGAAAGATACTTTATTGTAAAGTTATTTGATAAAACTACCGTGGGTAAAGAAACTGTTTTTACTCACTCACTTTGTTTGAATTACAAAATTAAAATAGCTATAATTATTTCTACTAGTTTTTATGTCGCTGCGGGTTTGTAAGTATCCTAACAGTGGCCCTATTGATCGAGAACTTTCAAATGCATTGGATCATGTGTGCAGGTTTCAGCTAGAAAATTTATCAAAAAAATTTAGCAGAATTTAGATATATATATATATATAGGAAATCAATAAACAGAAACTGAAATTTTAACATTCCTTTTTCTAAAGAATTTCTTAGTTGCAATTTATTTCATCATGTAGTACAAAATACTGCCTCAAGAAGATAAAACGATTATTGTACAAATCATTTAATAGTTCTTCATTTTAGTAGAACAAATTTTCGGAAATGGCAATTTTCGCATAATGTTACAAAGAGTTCTACATTGCGTGGAAGCAGAAACGGATTTCGTTTGGATTAAATTGTTATTAAGTTTTGAATACAAATGAGAAACGATACGATGAAGAAACCAGTTTAAATCAAACTAAATTGAATCAAATTATAGTTATGCAATTATATTATGCAATAATTATATTATGCAATTATAATTCTTGAATGTTTGAAGTGTTTCTTCATTCTCAAATTCTTTTTAGCGTTCTTCAAGGAATAAGTATTAGTAAATAGAAATGAAAAAAGGGGTGAACTGTTGTGATTAAAAGAAAGAAAGTGTTTATGTTCTTGTTGTTGTAAATGAAAACTATGATTGGTCGTCGAGTTCTCACGCATTTCACGAGTACTGACCGCAAACAGCTCTTTGCGGACTTAACGCAAATTTTGCGGTCCATACGATCATAGTTCAGAGACTGGTTATGAAAGCCGGCAAACATCAAAGTTGAAAACAACGTTGCAGTAGTTTATGTTGGAAGCTCCCTGACTGTGCACAATCCTTTTTTTGCTCACAAATTGTGACTGAATAAATTAATGCAATGTTTCTATTAGTCAGAAAGTTCAAAATGATAGGAATGCATTTGAACGTTGTGCACGGTTGGGTCCAAACATAATCAAGGAATCTAACGGGTTACATAACCATCCCACCTTAATAAGGGGCTATGATGCGATCCTTACGATGGCTTATACGGACTAAAAAATTCGTTACTGTCCGAGTGTATTGTACCTCAGGCATTTTGTTATGACGTTACGTAGACTACATGTTTTTACGCTCTGTATAAAGTAGCAACATGTCGCACGAGCAGGTATAGTATGTCTCAGTTTATGGCCCTTTATCTTATTTTTGCCGAGAAAAATATAATGCTTCATAAATGTTACCTGTTGTACCCTTTTCTGTGCTGGTTTCAGGTAGGAGACTCATGTAAATGACAGTTTATTTGCATAAAAATACAAAAAAAAAATGTAATTATTTGTAGATTCCCAAAAATACGTTTTTTAAAGTCACGCAACAAAAAAATAAATTTGAAACCGTGCAGTGGAAGAAACCAAGAAGATCAAATGTTATAAAAGACTAATTTATAAACAATTTATCCAAGTCTCAGGTCTTTCTGGCCCACAGTTTCTGAGTTATTTGCCGAAACGTTTCATGCACCTTTGTAGAGCTTTGTACGAAGACACCGTTTTGGTGCACCGATATGGCCGCCGGAAATCAACAAAAGCATCTGGAGTTCACTTTGTCTATAAACCCTCTTTTTTCACTGGAGAACTAGAATATGTGCGCATAAACATATATTCTAATACTTGAAATGCTTATACTGCTGAAAATCAAGGGGAGAGACCTTTCAACGGGACAGCATTCCTATTTTGGTGTCACGCATTGTGAAAACTCGGAAGTTCAAATTGCTGTATTTTTGAAATGAAACATGCGACGGTAGTAGAAACTTGTACAAAGATTTATTTTTTGTTTATCTTCAACCTGCTGTAAATAAGAATTCGTAAAACCTCACTATTTTGACTTTACAATTTGATGACGTCACTGTGAAAACCAGGTGGTGTTAAAGAAAATTTTCTCAGCTAACTTAAACAGTTGTTTCTTTTATAAGTATTAAAAAAATCATAACATTTTCTCTGTCTTAAAGTTCTTCGACGGCTTGGACAATTCTTTATCTGACATTGAATTATTGAAAATGTTACAAATGAATTATTGTGCAAGAAGGATAAATTTGTTTTATCTTACGTTTGAGGAGTCTTTGAGGCCTTTTTGTTTGCTTGCATACTTTTTGTGAATTCCTTGTAACGCAGTGAATTCCTCTTTAGTTTCCGTGTGAAAATAAATTCCCAATAGGCTGTCACTCGTTTTGTACCTTCGGAAGATAAACATTTGTGTCATGATTCGCTGAAACGATATCACACGACCCGGGGGGGGACTCCCATATGAAAAGGGTGGGGATGCTCGTCGGGAATTTTGAATTAAACACCTAGAGGAGATCAATTCGGGACTAGCCCAACCTTTTCTTGACCGCTAAAAGAGATCATTTTAAACTTTAATTAAATGAATCGAGTAAATATAATAAATTGAAAATACTTAACCTTTTTGTATTTCTTCGCCTACAACCAGCCCTAAAAGAGACCTTTACGGCTAAATATAACGGCGTTTTGAACAGAGCATCCTAAGTGAGACCAAAATCCTAAATTTACACCCCTAAGCGAGACGACGAGCATCCCCGCCCCTTTCATATGGAAGTCCCCCCCCGGTCACACGATTTAATCTAGTTTAGTGGTGAACCAAAGTTATCCCGGTTTAAAGACTAAAAACTTGTTTACTGTGAAAGTTGCTTTTATTGCACGCACTTGAAAAGTGTATTGTGAAACATACCTTTTAAAGTGCGTGCGTGTTATTTAAAAAATAAGGGCGTTTTGACTGTACGTGTGCTCTGTGTTCTGTTGTAAAGTACGCAGAAAACGGCCAGAGCATGAAAGAAGTGTAGGGGGAAACACAAGACTAGTCGAGTGTTTCTCTCTACTTCTTGAGTGCTTTAGCTGTTTCTAGCATGCTTTACAACAGAACAGAGCGCAAGGCTTTTTTATTTGTTCTATGGTAAAGAAACCGCTTCATTTTCCTACACATTACTTTCTAATTTTCGAAACAAACTATTGAAAGATCGCGTGACAGCTTTAGCTCCTTGTTTTATACTCTCATAAAGCACGCTTTTTCAACCAATTACAGTGCACGTTATATTACTGTTTTCGCAGATATGTTTTTATCCCCTGAAATTCATTTTTCTTGTAAGTTAGAGATATTTGGTTATTCTTTTCTTTAATTAAAAAGTGCGAAGTATCATTTTCTGGATAGTTGTTTTGTTACCATTAAGTCAGCACGTTTTGTTTTGTTAGCTGTGAAAGACAGTTGTCGTTTTAATTGCGCAAGCTAGATAAGTGTGTTATAAAACACATATTTTAAAGTGAGTGCGTGTTGACAATAATTACTATAGGATGGGTGCTGCAACTACGTTTAACGCAGATACGTTTAAATGCCCCGAAACTCTCGTTGTATTGTAAGGTAGAGATATTTGACGTAGAATTAAGGGCGAAGTTTAATTGTCTGGATAGTTTTTTAGCCTTTCCATTAACCATTTGGTAATTGTTTTATACTAAAAATCAAGCATACCCTATTGGAGTCTAGGTTTTGCTAAAGGGTTCCATGTTGAGTGTCGAGGGTCCCATAAAAATATAGAGTGAATAATTACAACATAATGAATGAATTATGAAGTACCAGAGTGATTTTGCCCTCCTCCCGGGCCTGAAGAAGGTACCCATTTCGGGCGGACTCTTCCCATGTAGGCCATTATAGAGAGTGCCCCCTGGATGCTGCGGCGAATTTTTTGGTCGCCATTTCCGGTGTTCGCTGTCAACTCAGTTTGGTTTAGCGGTGTGTGCGAACATAACCTCTACTCTCCTGGATTTTTTTATGCAATTTGCCGCTGCCAATCACTTTATGAGCCGGTTATATACATGTCCAAGCACTCATTCTTTAACAAAAAGTCTTAAAGTCACTTTGCGAAATCATAACTTATGAGATGGAACTTTCATATGGCACTTCCATTTTTCGACGAGAAACCAAATTTGATAAACATGACCGATTCTGGACGACAAATGTTTCTTGTCCGGGAGCTTCGCAATATCAAAGTAACAAACGAGTTTCATTGGCAGTTGGATTACAACCCCCGTGTTGTGAAACTGTTCGGCATGTAGTGCAAAATATGAAATCACGCTTTTCTGTTGTAATACAGTAACACGGCAACTCTAACCTGGCAGATTTTCAATCCATAATATGGGTTTCCATGGCTTCTAGATGTACATTCTTTTATAACTAGTCACGTTTTCAAACATGAATTAGGGGCTGGGGGTGGGTACCGCGTACCGTGGCACAGATTACGTACAACAAAAGAAACAATACAACCAAACAATAAAGCACCCAGGAGAACTCCATCGTTTGGTTCCTTTGTTTCTAGTAAATGGAACGTGGCCATCCTAACTTTTTGCGCGATGTCCACTTAAAAGATATCGTATGTCCACGTGCAATTCGGTCAAACGTCTTTTTAATTTTTTTTTTTTTCAATATAACCTGAATTTATAAAATACTTTTACATATCTTTATTTCAAAAAAAAATTGTTACCCTTCATGCAACCACAGAACCCTCGCCCTTATCTTAGGTTTAGGTTATTTTCGCACAAGGCTTGCAAATAGTGTCGAATTGTGTTGTGAAATATTTCGTAGGTTGTTTTTAATTTATTTCATGTTTGCACTCGAAGTTTCACACCTGCCTAGAGTTTCGTTATGATTAGGTTTGTAGATCAAGGTCAATCCGTATTTGTATCAACAGGTTTAATTTGAATTTTATCACCTTTTTAAGGAGTTTTTCAACATAAGTGTCGTTTATTAAATTTGAGTGGCAGTCCTTGAAATGGATACGTTTTGGGATCAACCCTGACCTTGATTGTTACCTACACCAGATTTCCTGTTTTGGTTTAAGGTCGAGCCTCGTGTGTTAAGTTGTCAAGCTTTCATTGGTTTTCTTGTACTTGACATTATTAACCTTATACCCTCACTTTAATTTGGTTATCAACAGGAAATTCGTTTACGTCATTAGGAAGTGCGTTCGTAATTATGTAACTCTCATGGTACGCACCTATACATTTAGGCTATTTAAGTTGCCAACATTGGGGTCAGTCTAAGTGGATCAGAGATTTTCAGCTAGTCATGTTGTAGGAGTGTGCAGTTGGTGGTTGAGCTGCAGTTTTAGTAGAAAGCATATGAGCTGCTTTGAAGAATAAAAAACGCTAAGGTGTAAATCAGATTCCTGATACTTCATCGCTAAGCGAGCGAGTTGCTCGAGCACCCCCACACTGATATGACATGAAATGATAAATCTGTCAAGACTTTTCAAGCCGCCTTGATCTCTTATCTGCATGCAGCATTCTCTTCCCTAGGAGGACCTACAGCTCGCGTCTTCATGCCACGATCTATTGATTGTTTACAAAGTCATTTATTTTAGTTATTATTTTTTCTTCTTTTTTGGTAATTATTTACTAAACTTATTTTTTATGCGATCCTCGACCAAGACCCAGACTCTATTGCGAAAACTTTTATTAAGACATTCATGGTGTTGGTTGATTTTTCTATAAGTAATTTTAAATTTGGCTTAAAAGCAGAGTTATCTCGGTCTAAAGTTACTTTAACTGTTTACTGTGAAAGCCGTGACGGTTGAGATTGCACGTACTAGAAAAGTGTGTTATAAAACATATCTCGTAAAGCGAGTGCGTGTCAGCAATAACGATCCTTTAGAATGGACTTTTTTACAGATATGCTTAAGCATGTCCTGAAAGTTACGTTGTATTTATTATCATTATTATTATTTTTATTATTATTGTTATTAGTAGTCTTTAGATAGTCATTTTACGACAATTCTCTTTCGTACACAAGAAGAATGTACATAGGGTAATACTTCATATTCTTGAATCTGTAAATAGTCTATTTTTTTAAATCTATGAATAAAGTTTTGTTTTAAAAGTTAAAAAAATATATTATTATTATTATTATTATTATTATTATTATTATTATTATTATTATTATTATCATTATCATTATTGCTATTTTTTGTCACCAAATCAAAAGACTACAAACGACGATGCTCACAACTTAGCACCGCACTGTAGCTAAACAAAAGTAGTCTGCCACGAAACACAGTAATGAAATAAATAAACAATGTGCTATATTTTCAAAAAATTATTATTATTATTATTATTATTATCATTATTATTATTATTATTGTATTTTCATTTTTTGACTATAATTTTCTGGATGCTCTATAAGCATAAAATCCTTGGTATGTGTTAGGTTATTATTACAATTAATACAATCTGGAGATAAGTAGTTATCTTGGTTTAAAGTTAAATAACTTGTTTATTATGAAGTTGTCACTGTCGTAATGTTCTTCGCCATAAACCACGGAAAGAACACCAAAAGCGCTCTTCCTCTGCCACGAATTTACTCAACATACCTGTCAGTGCTGTCTACCAGCTACAGGCCCTTAAATTTGCTTTCCGCTGGCACAAAAAGAAGTTGCCCAGCATTTTTCAAAACTATTTTCAGTGTGCCGATAAGTACTTAATTATAATGCACTATACTATGCCCTAAAAAAGAACTCTTATAAACGAAGCGCAAGAACGAATATTGGAAAATAGTCAATTCAATCTAAAGCTGTTGACCTCTGGAAAGATCCTACCCATCATTTTTTATTCTTTCTTTGCTAGTTATACCTGTCCCTTCTATAGCTAGGAGCTGGCATGAAAACGTTTTTTTTTTTTTTATCGTAATGTATCATTTTCAGTTATGTAATAATTAGCCATCGTAAAATGTAGTACTCTCTAACTGGTTGTTATAATAAAGGTTGTTGTTATTGTCACTGTCAGGCACTCTTCTTTGTATTTGGTATTGTTACTTTTCGCCTTAGGTGAAATATCACTAAATACCCAAAGACCAATTCTTTCTTTTGTTAATACTTCAATATAAAGGCAGGTGGCCGTCACCATAAGTGTTATATATCATCCTTCTAATGTTTTCCAGATACATTGAACTTTGTCTTGCTAATGAAGACGCCCCGTCTCATTTCAAACCATTCCAAAATCATGTTTGCAGTCCAAAGATTAGTATTTTCTGTACAATGAGGTTAATCCCACTGGCTGTTTTCTATTCAGAATAAAAGAGTGTCCTCCATACTTTTTTATGCGTTGAAAGGGCACAGTAATAGTCTGATCACAAGTTCCAAAATGATAAAGATGTTTCTATATGAAGGAATCTGCAAGAAAAGGAGTGCACATTTATTAGCAATATTTTTGGTCAAATAAAAATGATGCTTGACTAATATTAAATCATTTATTGTTATTACTATTACTAGTAATAACCAAAGGTTATGGAGAGCGGGCGACAACTATCGGAAATCCAAACGCTTTTGCTCCAACGTAACCTGCGATCAGGTGTCCTTCTTCCCTGTTCATTTTGAAAAAGAAAACGCCTGATCGCAAGTTAGCTCCAACGCTGTGCTTTGCGTAAGTTTCACGTGACAGATAGTTAAAACACGCCTGATCAGTTTACGAGGGGTAGAAGGTCCATACGGGCGTGATCAAATTGCGTACATTCCACTCATTCTTAGTGGAAGTCCAAACGAATGCTCCTACATACATGCGACGCATGCCTAATAACAACCTGGAGATTAGGATTGCGGGCTCCTCTTGTCGCCCGCAATTATTATTATTATTATTATATTTAAGACAGTATGTCGTTTTAAGACCATAAAAATCTATTAGTCAAAACAATGCTTAAAAATGATAACAATGCTTACCTGCAATCAAAGTGAGACTGAAATTGTGACTACACAAACTGACCCGCAAAATGGTCACCATAAAACGTGAAGAACTAGGGTAAAATGTCTCATATTTATTGCAGAATATCATATTATCAATCATAACTATCATTTTTGATATATCAATATTTCTCTCATACGAGTCTTGCAAGGTTTTTTGATAATACCATGATAGATCATCGTTCATAAGAGCTTATGATATTTTGATTTTCCCACTGACAAACTACCATGATAATATCACAACATCATGATATCATCGAATTATCAATAGCAATATCAAAATCCACAACATTTGCTCGGATCTGACTGAGTGTGAAAGGCGTTGATAGTTTGATATATCATGATAACATCACAATATCATGATACTCCGTAAAGAGATCAATTACAATATCAAAATCTCAATTAAAATCTGATTTGCTGAACGAGTTCAGTTTATTTTCATTATCATGATAATATCATGATATCATGATACCATGAAAATATCAATAATAATATTAAAATCTTTTCTTTGGATATGATTGAGCGTCTCGGGTTTTGTTTTTAGGTCACAGTGTCATGACACAGTCACAATATCATGATTTTAAATGGTGTCAGTACAACATCTCAAATGCAATCTAAGATTTGATTAAGCATGTAAGGATAATAATTGTAATGATATCGTCAAAATATTGGGTTTAAGCAGCTACCCTTTTTCACAACAGTCTAGTTTTTCAGGGGTTTTATTTTCACTGCAAAAGGGCGGATGAGCTCTGTTTAGAGCCAACGGCCATCGTGCAAATTAGCTCTGCTGCCTTGCGGATATCTCTGGGAGGAGAAAAGGCTAAGGAGTAAACCCTACAGAACTCCCGAGTGGAGCCACTAAGGCGGTTTGATAGTCAACTTGATTACCCTCGGCAGCTCCTGCAGCCTATCAGGTGCCAAATGTATTGCTCCGCTCTCCTTTGGACTACATCAGTGAGGCCGAGAGGGGGATCCTGATGACTGGGCACCCCAAGATTTCCATATACACCGCCCAGGCTTGCGCCCTGGAGAGGTCACTCTAGTGGCGCTGTTCACAGCGTCAGAACCAATACGGGAGACAGCAGTTACGAGTTATAAGCTCAGACCAATTGATGTAGGTCTAGGTGGTACGGACTGTCTCCGACGGTTGGAGGGATCATCGTGTCCCACCGGACAGCTACCGCCCGCCTCAAGCGAGGCAACCCCGGCCAGTAAGGTGCTAACCCACCACAGTCTGCCTGCCTCGCTGGGTGCTTGAAGCTCCTTTGCACAAACTTGTAGCGAGTTTGGTGTCACCATCAGTCTCAAAAAGACCAACACTTCTTGGCCAAGACGTCAGCAGTATGCCAAGCATCTCCATCGCGACAACACTCGAGGTGTTGGAGGACTTCACTTACCTACAATCATGGACAAAAGTCTTGGGACACTTTTGCGTTGGTGGGGCGTTTTCCAATTCACACAAGTCCAACCCCTCCCCTCACCCCCACAAACAACGTTGGACGCGTGTCCAGAATTTTTTTCGAGTTTCAACTTTGTATAGCTAGGGTAAAGGGAGGGAGAACTGCAAGAAAATTTCCAAAATGATGCACTGTTTTAAGAGGGAACCGAGAAATGACAGAAAAATAAGAATATTGTAGTACTGTCCCAAGGACTTTTGTCCAGGATTGTAGGCTCCAACATCTCCATCAACTCTCCCTAGACACTGAACTGAAAAACGAATTGGCAAAGCAGCAGCAGCAGCACTGGCACGAGCTCTGGAGGGTCTGGGACAATACCAAGTTGACCATCAGCACCAAGATGAAGTTGTACCAGGCCCGCGTGCTCAGCACCCTGCTGTGTGTAGCAAGACCTGGACCCTCTACTCCCGCCAAGAACGCAGACGCAACACCTTCACGTGTGTTGTCTTAGAAGCATTTGGGCATCACCTGGCAAGACCGTGTCCCGAACAAGGATGTCCTAGCACAGCCTGAAGTACCTTGCGTGTTCGCCTTGCTCAGTCAGAGTTGGCTGCGCTGGCTTGGCCATGTAAGCCGCATGGATGACGAAAGAATTCCTAGAGACATACTCTATAGCGAGCTTGCCACTGGAACTAGACCGGCAGGAAGGCCTAATCTTCGCTTCAAAGATGTTTGTAAACAAGATCTAAAGGCAGGCAATATCAACCCTGCAGATTGGGAAGTTGCAGCTGCAGACCAAAGCCACTGGAGGCTTGCTGTTACAGCACTCAGGAGTGTGAGGAAAGGAGAGAGGAGAGAGCGCAGGCGTCTGAGGGCAGCGTCAGTTCCCACAGAGCCAAGCATGGATTTCATCTGTAACAACTGCAACAGAGACTGCCGATCCAGAATCGGATTGTACATCCACAGCAGGGGCTGCAACTCAGCCACTGACTAAACCTTGGAGCGGATTCCATTGTCTCCCGGACAGACTGATGCCAACAATTTTCACGGCAATAATACCAGAACTGCTGATAATGTAAATAAAAATAAATAGAAAATTGTATACATTAGAATCAACCACAAGAAACCCAGAAAAAATCTAAGTTCCAGGTGGGAATCGAACCCACGACCCTCCGTACTCTAGTCGATCGCCGATGCTCTAACCACTGGAGCTACTGGAGACTTCGTACTAGAGTGAAGAGGTTAACATTTTTCTATTTTCCCTTCTTAATAGACCTATTTTTTAAAAATGCATTCTACTAATAGGCTTCCAGAAGCTAAAAGGAATGTTAATCATCACTAAACCTGTTATTCCCAAAGCTTTGCATTGAAGGGTGACTTCCAGGGTGAATGCAATTGCAGCATATGTACAAAGCCATCAAGCACATTTACCTGTTGGATTCTTTTTTCAGTTTAAAGACTGTAAAACGTAGGTTACAAAGGGAAAAATGCCTGTTTATCCTGAAAATAACTGTCATCCTCTGGACCTTTTAAAATGAACCTGCTCTGCTTTGTCCTACAACAGGATGGGTTTGCAGGGGGTTGCATAGTTTCTGTGCCCTGTTGGGTCATCATTGATTGTAGAATTTATGCAGCCTGGGTAATCAGAGGCTACATAATTTCTGCACTGAGTATGGGTCATCGGGGGTTCAGAATATCTGCAGTATCGGTCATTATGGATTGTATTTATGCAGCCTGGTTCATCAGCGACTGCCGAATTTCTGCAATGAGTATGGGTCTTCAGAAGTTGCAGAATTTTTGCAGTATGGGTCATCAGGAATTGTAGAATTTCTGCGGAATGGGTCATCAGGGATTGCAGAATTTATGCAGCCTGGGTAATCAGAGGCTACATAAATTCTTGCACTAAGTATCAGTCATCAGGGGCTTAGGATATCTGCAGTATAGGTCATCATGGATTGTATTTATGCAGCCTGGTTCATCAGGGACTGCCGAATTTCTGCAATGAGTATGGGTCTCCAGAAGTTGCAGAATTTTTGCAGTATGGGTCATCAGGAATTGTAGAATTTCTGCAGAATGGGTCATCAGGGATTGTAGAATTTTTCGCAGCACCGTTTATTAGAAGCCGCAGAATCTTGGTGGCACCAATCATTTCGGGGTGCTAAATTGTTTAGCACTTTGAATTAGAGGGACGTGTCTTTTGAAATCGTTTTTATACCAAAGTCTAAAAAAACCTTTCATATATTTCTAAAAAAAATTTATCCGCAAAATTAATTACCGAAATTGCACAAAAAATAAGGCTGACCAATTTGGCATGTTTACGCTCAAGAAATTCAATATTTATGTACAGACGTTGTGCTTTACTTCACTTCACTTCGCGTCTTTTTAGTACACTTCACTTTTCTTCATTATACTTTAGTGAAGCAATATTCAACCGTGTTGGCTAATGAGAAAATGTTGTTTTCCAGTCGCAGCTGAAACACCAGGAATGCAAGCATGATGTCTACGCCAGGTCCACTCGACCCAGCTTCACCAATATACGAGCTCCAGAAAGAGAGGCCCTCTTTCGCCTCAAATGATGTACATTTCCTAGAAAGCTTTCGCGTATACCGTGAAAGGTCGAGTGAAACTGAAAAATTATTTGAGAGCTTCCAGACTCACATACCGCCATTAATCCAGAGCCAAATGGTTCCCAAGCGCCAGCGATTAAACATTTTGAGCGTTGGAAGTGCGGAAGGCAAGACAGATTTAATGATACTAAAAATTATCGGGCTAGAACTGCAGAAGAGTGACCACGGCCAACATATAGAAATTTTCAACCGAGCCATTGAGCCTAACAGCTTTTCTTGCGGCCTCTACAAAGAAGCTATCAAAAATCCTACAAGTCCTCTCGATAATCAGCAAACGTCTTTTGAAATCTGCCAGCAGACCTTTGATGAGTACCAAAAATCCAAGAAAGATGAAATAAAATTCGACCTCATACATTTTATCCATAGTATTTACTACGTTAACATGGAAGAGACTTTGATTAGCTGTATTGAAAAAGAACTCAGTGACAAGGGGCATTTTCTCAGCGTAGTCGTGACAACTCAAGATCTTAACTATTTGGTTTGTTCAAAGCAAAAACGACCAACAAGAGAAATAAGTGAAAAATCTGAAAAGTTGATCCAGATCGCAAAGAAGTATGGCTGGAACTATGAGGTGTACACCACAGAATACGCTATTGACTTCACCCACGTTTTCGACCCCAAGTCAACTGAAGGAAATCTGCTGCTGGACTTCATGACGCACATCGTGGATTATCGCAACACCGCTGACAAACAACTGGTACAAGAAACACTGGCTCTTATCGACGAGAAGACTGTTCTGAAAGAAGGTAAAAAAATTGGAAAGGGGGAGTTCTCTCTGGTTGTCATCAGCAAAAGATGCGACATGTGATTGTTACATCTACTTTTTATAACCCTTATACGACTCATGAATATTGGAAAACATAAGAATGGACGCCATTCTTTCAAGAAGGCGCGCAAGCGCGCATTATCCACACTGCTGGGTCCCTTAAGCTTCTAGGCATGCATAAACCTGTTAAAGCAGTGCCAGATTCACACCTTGAGATAAGGAGGGGCCGGTCATCCAGACCCTTAGATAAGTGGGGGGCGGCGGTCTCCCAAAAAAAATTTTCCAAAAATAAGGGGGGACTTGACCCCCCCCCCCCTGGCCACTCCCTTGGATCCGCCACTTTGAAGTACAACCTGTAACTCACCGTGCGAGCAGAGCTTTCTTTTGTCTTCTTCTTCATTGAGGAGGAGAAAAGGAGGCCCTGCCTGAATGGCGCCAAGCCTTTGAGGTCGGCGCAGCTCATACTTCTAGACCAGTCAGCCATGTTTTCTCTCGTCGAACTGGTTTTTCGAGTCCGAGCATTCGATATTGATAAACCGATGGTCATAACTGGGTCCGATGTACCAAACGCAAGGCTATTAGGCGAGGGTTTGAAACTGTAGCCTAGCAACATACAGTGCATGTTCAACAAAGATCTTATTCGATACATGCAGAGTCTCTCTCGAAAAGCCAAAATCGAACAATCGAAAAGCTCTGCTAGCAGCGTGTCTGTAACTATATATTATGCATAACAGGACGACAAGTCCAAGTCGTTGATATGAAGGACAATTCACTATTAACGCCCCGCCAAGTGACCGGCCTGCGCAATAACCGCCAGTCTTAACCTGCTGTCAGAAAAAGTTTGAAGACGACCTGACCACACCAAATGTCATGACTGGTCAGCTCATGATCAGAAGATTTTGGCGTCAACAAGGCTGACTTTAATCGCTCCAGCTTCTTTCATCCTTTAGACCAGATTTTACGGTATTTTCCAAAATAAAAATTTGAATTGCTATGTATTCGTGGGACGGCGTTTTCACTTTTTCCCCGGTAATCAGAAACACAAGGCTTGGCTGCCCTGATCTGCTAAGCAAGTGGATTAAGCTGAGGTTGACTTATTTTGAATAAACTTTGCAAGTGTTGCTTTTAAATCTCGGCAGAATTCCGTTAGTTCGAAAAATTCATCAGTTAGATTGAATTTCTTTGGACTCTGACTATTTTTAAAATTATTTATAGTTGATTTTTAGAACGTTTTTAGTGAAACACAAATGAGACAGTTTTGGTAGGTTAATTGCGAATACAATTACAATCGCGAGATTTGAAAGTGATTAAATTTACAGCCAAAAACACGTATACAAAGACCAGATAATACGCTACCACAAAAAAGGGTCACTGAAAAAAATGATCGCAACGAAGACTATGTTTACACTATACCACCATACCAGATAGGTTTTCGTGCCAATATGAAGAGCTATCGGCGGTATAGTTTGAATACTTATCTGATATGTGACTCTCCACATTAGAGATAGGCGCTTACGAGAGGTTCGCTTAAAAAAATGGTCACAAACAAAGTGACTCCGCACTTTGTCAGTTACCAGCATGCGTATGTTGTGGGAAAATTAAGCTAATAAAATATTCCGTGGTTTTGCCGTTTAAGAACTCTAAGTTAATAATATGGCTAGGGTTCGGTTTTCCCGTTCCACGCGTTCGTTCCCCGCTCCTCGTTCCTCGTTTTAGTATCATCTTCTGTTTAAAGACTTGGAAAAAAAAATTGTTTGTATAATGAGGTTGTCACTGAGGGGCGGCGTTTTGTTTGTTTGTTTGTTATTTTTGCTTTTTGCCTGTTAAAATTTACGGCATTTAAAGCCTTTTTTTTTTCGTGCAATTCAACCACCTTCCATGGACACCATTATTTACGCACGTACAGGCTTGTTGGCATGCGATGGCCTTGTGATTGACAAAGCAACTGGTTGTTCCAAAAACAGGCGGTATTTTCTACTGTTAAACAACTTTACTCTTAGCTGTTATGTGAAAAGTGTTAAGAAAGAACAAGAGAGGATAATGGCCCCAATATTATCATAACCATTCCATGTTATTAACTATGTTCAAACCAACACTTTGGGTAAAACTACACAACACTATTTTTTGTTAGCATTATATCAGCAAAATAAGTGAATGTTGCTTTTTTTTCTTGCTTGCCATTGCTAGGAGTCGTGTTCATATCACAAGTCAGGATAAGAATTAACGCCTGCTCTCGCTTGGGCTACGGCTATAAACGACGCTGTAATGAAAGAAATTTGCAAAAGCTAAGGATAGTTCTTTAATTTCACTGTTCAAAGTTTAATTTATTTCCAATATATCGTTAGTTTTAAGAACATGTATACGCTCATTTTCTTTTGTCTTGATACTGACGACGTCCAAGAATGTCGCCCTGGGAACGTCGAAACGTCGTCATGTTTTTAACGTTTTTTATAAATTTCTTTAAATGATTTTGAGTAATATCTTGTCGCAGTTTTTCTTTAGCTATACTATACCACGTCATAATCAATGTAACGTCGAAACATTTTTTTACTACATAAGTATTTCTGTAAATTCATGATTTGTGCTAATAAACATGATGAACACAGGACAAATCGTAGCCCCCTTGGGGGAGGTACTCGACCAATATTTGGGTGTAGGTGAGCCACTGAGGGTTTGAAACCCTGACCCTGTTTAGGAGAAAAAAATCCTAAAAAACATACCCTGTTTACGACAACAACTTCAATTTTATTACCTTGTTTAGGACAAAGGAAAAGGACAAAATGCACGCCGTTCAGTTTTAAAGCTATTTATTGGCAATTGCAATAATTAAAAAGCAAATTCACGTTATAGTAATGGTATTTGTATACAAAATTCATCAAGGGAAATCAAATTAATCGTGCAGGATATACCCTTTTAACAAACTCGCAGGAAATTATATACCCCGTTTAGGACAGACAGGTCTGTTGAGCGGTAGTGACTGAATGTTCCGCCATTTTGAACCCACTACTCCCGCCCCGGATCGTAACTTAAGTCTTTTCACGTTGTTTGATCAGTCCTTACAGTTGTCTTTGCCATCATTTCTATTGGTTACAGCCAATATTAAACGTGCATAGTTTTCTATGCCGAACGGCAGGATTTTTGGGATTCGGGACTTGTCGCACTTAACCCTTTAAGCCCCAAGATCAACATGCAAATTCTCCACACTGGCCTCCATACATTTCTTGAAAAATTGGTTAAGAGAATTTTTTAAAAGATCAAAGCATATTTCCTGAAGTGATCATTTATTACTTCTCATAATCGTTCTATTTGATTATATACTGGTATTGGTCACTTTTGGGACTTAAAGGGTTAAAGGCCGGAAATCACCGGCGATTTCAGAAGAAGGAAGGAGGGAGATTTGGGATTGTACCCGGGGGGGGGGTACTCCCTAATATGGGCTATATAGGTATGTGCGGCCCCAAAGGGTAGGGTTTTTCAGCCGTTTTGGTCATAAATTGGGTATCGATTTTGGCTATTTTGCCGCCATTTTGGTCATAAATAGGGTAACGATTTTTGCACTGTAGTCTTGAATGCACTTTTTTAGAAGAAGCTACTTCCTTATCATGTCCCCCTCCTTCCATCCGCGCTTTGCCTTCCTCTCCACCGGCTGCTTTGTAGGCTAGAAAATACAAGCAACAAAAGCCCTTCACAAAATAGGGTATCAAATTTTTGGTTAGGTCATAAATAGGGTAAGGGTTTTGGGAAGCGGGCCGCACACCCCTACCCAATTTTTCTGCGAGTTCCCCCCCCCCCGGGGGATTGTATAACAAGATACGGGATTAAGCGATTTTGCGATCCGAGTTTCAAGGAATGTTGCTTTAAATGACGAATACGTTTTAAGAAAGCTAAGGTACATTAGAACCCCGGTAACTCGAACTCTGACCACTCTGAAAGGAAACGAAAAACGGTTCGAGTTGAGTGGGGAATTCAACTTATCGGGGTAAATTTTAGTGAAATTTTGATCAAGGGAAAGGAAATTTAGTTCGAGTAAGCGGAGAATTCGTGTTATCGAGGTTCTACTGTAGATTTTTGGGTGTTAGGAATGGGAGCCATTACCAACAACAACGAGCTTTATTTGCATGACCATACAAATACATACAGTATTGCAAAAGCTATGTTTAGGAATCAAAATTACAACACAGGGCAATTACGTTACTTTGATAATAATCTGTCACGAACATCAAAACAAGCTGAGATATATTTTAAGAATTGTATATTGATAAAGTAATAAGAAGAGTTCATCAGTTCATTGATCAAAATGTTTATAGGTAACTGGATAATATTTGGAATCAGAGTCTTGACTTTATAGTAAAATTTGTTCCTAATCATAGAGTATGTAGGACATCGAAAAAGAAAGTGAACTTCGTCTTCTATTACATTGCATACACAAAAAGGGCAATGCCTATTATCCTTCGTAGTTTGATTGTATCTGCCTATATCTATCATTAGCTTGTGATTGATTATTAAATTATTTTATTACCAATTAAATGACGTAATAAAACAGATTGAAAAGGCATTAGACAATATCCACACCATTACACAATACCTAATCAATCCGTAAAACATAAGACAGGGGCGGATCTAGAGGGAGGGTGCGGGGGGTGCGCACCCTCCCCTGAGATGACCTGCGGTTTTCTAATACAACTGGTATTCTGCCCAAAAAAAAACTATGTGGTTTATTGGTGTTGAAGTAGAGCAAGAGACGACTGCACCCCCTCCTAAAAAAAATCCTGGATCTGCCCCTGTAAGACACACCCAACGTTAAGCTTTGAAGCAGAAAAGGTGTTTCATTTTGACTTAACACAAGTTGCCCTCATCTGCCAGTGTTGTCTGTGGATGAGGATATCTGGGACCTCGGGATCGAGACAAGCCAATAAAAACAGTCGGGAAAACTGCGCGCAGGTGCATAAACGCGCGCGGAGGCTATCTGTACTAACAATCTGATTTCAAAGGTCACACTACACAACTCCCCGGTATGGCCAGTACCTTACGCACACGCACAGCCATATCACCCAGCAGCGCAACCGTGGCAGCTGTTTCGCCCATGTTAGGGCTGACCAGCATGGCATAGCCATCGGGTCAATGAGCATCCTTTACTGCCGAGGCGAGTGCAAAGCACTGCTTTAACGAACAGCTCCACGCAGCACATGTGGTAGCTGTTGAGACCTTGCCTTTTTCAAGTGTTGTACTTACAGCTTGTAGGACAATCCTCTTAGTGAACTTCAATTTCTTTACTACAGGCGGCGTTCTCTATACCGTACTAAAGAGGACGAACTTTTCGCTAATTCCAGGGGGGAGCTCTCATATGAAAATGGCGGGGTTGCTCCGTGTCTCTTTTAGGGAGTAGAAATTTCAGTTTCTGGTCTAACGTAGGTTGGCAAGCTGCCTCTACCGGGGTGATAAGATTGTGCGCAATCACAAGGTACTGGCCATACCACGGAATTGGTACGCGTGCCTCAGTGCTTTAATTGTATCAGCCAATATTTTTTTTCCATGAAGTATCGCTTTGGTTTGTGCGTAAAGAAATAATAACTAAATCCGTCAAAACAGCAAATACCATCATGCTGTGTTGGAGTAGAGTTTCCTTTGAGGTCACATAAAGCGTAGGCCTCGCCTAAATTAGTAATTTTATTTTTCAGTCAGGACAAAAACCTTGTACCAGAATATTTTAAGCCATATCGCATTCTTTTTGACACTTTTCACAGGAAGTGAGAAAACACCGGTAAAATCGTTATGCATAAGAGTTTCATTTTGTAAAATTTGAGGGTTTTAAAGTTTGTTTCCTCGGGCTCCCATAAGAACCTTTTAATTTTCCTTGGAGTTATTTCTTATAACTTTTAAGCAATAGAAAGCGTTTTCCTTGTTTGCATAGCCTAATATAAACACGAGAGGGGTTGGAAGAATTCGAGACAGTTATGCAAACCCGAGAGAAAAACGCAAAAATCTTTTGTCATGGCACTGATTAGAAGAGAAGTTCTTACCAGTCTTGTACACGAAGTCTTGCACGCGTAATCGGCTCTTGTTTTGTAGAAAGATGCTTTCCAAAATACGGATTTTTCTCGCTTAAAATCTCATCTTGAGCGAAAAAAAATTGACACAGCTTGTCTGTAAAGATTTCAGCCGACGAAGGAATAGGTGAATAAAGTAAATTTGTCGAGTTTTAAACTAAAAAACTTTTTCAATTTTCAGCTTGCGTGATTAGCGCGCGAAAAGCACAACATCTTGACGTCACAACCATGTTCACATACTTGCACGCAAACACTCCTCTCGGCCAATCAGAGCGTGCGCACTATCTACGTTATTTTATAAATTACATTCATAGCCCTCGAAGAAGTGTAGAAAAGAATGCAGCATGATTGAAATTATTCTGGTACGAGGTTTTTGTCCACTGAAAATTAAAATTGCTCAGTTTCCTAATGGGTTCCGTCTTGATTCTAATTTTCCGACTAGCATCCGTCTTTGATACGAGAGACCCACGTCTCTGAGATTGTAGCGGAGCTCCACGCGGTCTAAAAATGCCCCGATAAAGATCGATATGAATTGCTATAGTTATTTCCTGCCATTGCGTGACCTGACGATAGTTCTAACATTGTGATTGGCAGTAACTTAACATGACAAAGCCTTTAATCACCGAGAATGCCAAATTCATGTAAATAAGAACTCTGCCATGTCAAATTGTGCAGATCGTTTTGATTTCAGTTCTTAAGAATTCGAAGGAGAAATAGATTGGCCTAATCGAGGATAGACGATAGGACCATCTCTTAAGAAGGCCTCGAGGATTGTTGTATTGTGCGAATAACAATGGCAACACACGACTTTGAAGTAAGTGAGGTGATTACCTTTCCCTATGAAAAAACGCTTATTAAGCTATCAAATATGCAAGCGCTTCTCTCAGGAAATCCCTTAGCTTTAGCCGCCAAAGAGACACTTTCAATGAAACCTTTTACGTTAATTTGGGCACGTACAGTGGCTAATAAATGCAGTAGCGATCTGCTGTTAAATGATGATTATTTCAGGTTCACTCTTTAGTTGTGGTTGTTTTACGTCGTGAACATAAAAAGGCCTAAGACGTTTTAATTAGTAATTAGCTTTGGTACAGTACAATTAGATTGAGTCAAAACTGTATACAAAATGCTTTGATGCAAAAGGGTTAGTTTCTTTTTACGATAACGTATCCGGGTAACGTATACTTGATTTGGTGTTGTGTTTGCAAAATTTGGCAATCAATGACAGCTCATAGTTGTTTTCTTACCAATTGCAATAGCAAACATCAAGTGGGACAAAAAACAAATTCGCGCTGTTAGCCAAGAAATCTTCAAGGTTACGGCAGGACTGTCAGCTACCCCGTTCCCTAAAAAACTCCTAACAAAGCTAATAATGGTTCAGCGATCTTCGGAAACCCTCCTGCTGCAGATACATTATGAGTAACGATCGTTTGCTCTCCAATCAACATGGCCTGTGACAGGCCATGTTTTCAAATAAGCAAAATCAAAAGGACCTGATTAAATATCCTTTTTTGAGATGCTGAACCTGATCTTTTGAATATTTGATGAGATTCTTTTGACTCACGTCCAAAAGGTATTTTTGCTTTATCAAATTATCAGTCAGTGTTGAGTCCTCCACTTGTATTAAAACGGTGACCTGTCACACAAACATTTTTCTTGTAACAAGCATAAGATTTATGTGCTTTTTGGTCCACGCTCCACGAGCATGGAGTCATTCTTTTATCATGATAACTAGATCCCAACAGTTGACGCATTTTCGTGCCGCGTGTAACCCTTACCCAGAAGATTGCCTTAGTTACTATAGCTAGTGAAAGCACCCAACTAGAATTCTGGGAGATAACGAAGTGCCAAGGTATGAGTGCTTACCGGTGACACAAACCACCTGGTCGAATATCTCGAACAAAAACATGTAACAATACATTCAACATTGTTAGAAAGGGACCCGCTACAAGGTAAATCCATTAAACCAGCAAGCGAAGAGAAGAGAAAACTAGAAAGATTGCATCTCCAAAACTGAACATAGCCCATATTTTCTGAAGTTCCCAAAGTAAAATGGCACAAACTATTTCCGGTTTTACCATGTAAATAGTAAGTACTCTTTCAATTTTGCTTATCTCCATTTACTACGGTCTCTAAACTGCAAATTGGTCAAAGAAATGCTTTTATTGACAAATCACTTGTCCCTGCATGAAAAATAGAGACGATTCGCGAACAATATAAATCACACCTTCAAATAAAACAAACTGGGGCAAACTGGTACGAACTGCGGAAAAAATAGTAATCCGCTTCCAATCGTCTTCAGTGGTGTCCATTTTTGATTAACTATGACTAAGCCCCACTGAACAACATCTAAGAAGGGTAATTTATTAAAGTAAAAACTTTAACTGCACTAATTACGTGACAAATACATTATTTAAGTGGCTTTAAGTAAACCGCACTACTTTAGGGAATCCTGAAACCTCGAGTTCGACATCTAGAGTTCGCTTTCAGTGACAGTCAGGATTTCTTTTAAAAACAGGGAATAGTACAGAGAATTGAACGCAGTGCCTAAAGTGGGTTGCCAATGCAAATTTATCTCACTGAACTGCTCTACCAAAATCTCACGTGATGTAGAAAATATCCAGGCGTTGGCGTGTGTTTGTTTGAAATACAATCGAGTTTGTATACATATTATATTCGTTTCTAACATATGACGTTTTTTTCAAGCTGAACGACTCTGGTGATACATCGCCTCAAGAGAATAAGAAGAAAAAAAGAGCTCTTGGACTATCGTACCTTATTGACGAGAGTCCGCCATGGTACGTCTGCTTACTGCTTGGCTTTCAGGTAATATTAAAGGCGATTCCTTTGTTACTAATTTTGCCTTATTTAATAACGTAGTTGTGCTTATCATTCTCTGGCAAAGCTATCAATCAGTCAATCAGTCGTTCAATGACCAGTTAACTTTATCACAAAGCCTGGAGCAAACAAATGCTCGTTTAAAAACCGTCCGTAAAAGGTTACTATATGTCACCAGAGAATTGATTGACTTTGTAACATGTAGCTGTTAGCTTAGGGATTAAGATATGGATAATTTATGATGTAAAGACGAAATCACAAGTAAATAAAAGGGTCAAGCTCAGGCTTATGAATAATTTTTATGCAAAACGTCAAGATAGCTTATCAAGCATGTCAGGAGCGCAAAATATTAAGTTATTCCAACATGGCTTGATGGCCAGCAGTTTCTTGAATGTCTTTCTTATCGTGCAAGATATTACCTACCTCCAGTAGTTCTAGCTGAGTTTGCTGAAACGCCAATGGTTCTCTAGCCCCAGACAATAATACTGGGCCCAGTTATTCCAAGGCCGATTAGCGCTTAACCCGGGGTTAAATTTAACCCGGGTTTCTTTTTCTTGTGTTCAAAAAGCATTTTCTCGGATAATTTCCTCTGTTATTTTTAGAGCTTCCAATCATCAACTTGCAGACAAAAAGAATTAAAACTGAAATGCTTTTGAAGCTTTCAAATCTGAATTCAAATCTGGCACTAACCCTGGGTTATCTTAACCCGGCTTTGAACAACTCGGCCCTGGCCTTTGCTGTATGACTGTATCCGCGAGCGGGTAAGACGAAGCAAATCCTCAGTGTATTCTGATTGGCTGACACCCGAACAAGAAGCGGTCAACAGCCAGAATTCTCAGACTATTTCTCTATTTCGTTTTAGCATTTCCTAACCATGCTGGGATCAACACTTGCCATTCCCTTTATCATCAGCGAACCGATGTGTTTTGCAAATAATTCACTCGCCATCAGCGAAGTCCTTAGTACCATATACTTTGTGTCTGGACTTGTAACATTACTGCAGACTTTGCTTGGGATCAGGTAGGTATTGATTGTTAATTTTTTTAAATTATACTCTTCTTATATTGAAAGGGTAAAACAGCTCTTCTAATTAAACTATAAAATAAAGGCTATTACATTCCGAAAGTGATGATATATGTCTATCAAACAATTGGCCCCGATCCTCGACGCATTTTCAATAGGACCCAATAGTGTTGTGTATCAGGATTCTCAAAAACAGGAACAAACACTGCAGATAACAAAGAGGAAACCAATAACATCCTTAGCTCGCTAGCATACATTTTCCCGCGCTTTTGCTTGAGCTCTCATTGGTGACTAAGCGCATGCGCATGATCGCTTCCATCGTGATTGGTGATACATTGAAAGGTGTTTTCTTGATCTTTGAAGTGCCTCACGTTACTGTTTTGTGCACAGTTGTCCATATACAATCTGAAAATTCTCACATGCACAAAAACGCAAAATTTACGCTGCACAGACGCTCAATTCGGGGGGACGTCGATAAAGAGTTTGTAGAAGCAACTTCAGGTCTGTATACCATGAAGTCCAACTCAAAAGAAAATTGACAAAACTGCCCTGAAAGCCCTTTCTTCATGCAAGTTTTTCTTTTCCTTTTCTGAAGGCTTCCTATTGTTCAAGGCGGAACGTTTGCATTTATTACGCCAACATTTGCAATCTTGTCTTTGCCTCAATGGACATGTCCTAAGACAGAAGGTCAGTTTATGTCGAACAAGTAACTGCGGCAATTTTATTTTACTTTCCAGTTTGGTTCAAGTTAGTTCTTATTCTTGGGTAAAATATCGAAAATAGGACTTTTCCGGTACGGAAAAACTCTCTCCGAAGCAAAACGGAACAATCAGAGAGCCCGCGCTTTGGAAGAGTGCTAGTTATTTAACTGGAACATTTTACCTTTGAATGGACACACCTTAGGAGTTCTTCTTTAGTCTAGGCTTTGATAGATTGTGCTCGCAAAAGTGTTCGTATACTTCTAAAATTATGCCATAATTATGCTATTTTTTGTAAATTATGCTCGTTTTAGCGAAAAACTATTGCAGAAGTTATGCTTCTACTTTTTACTTTAAATTTAGTAAAAACACCTCAATAACTATGCAATGAGAAACTTTTTATAACTAAACACTTAAAAAGGTAAACCGCTGAAACAACAAACCTGTCTGACAACTATGAAAACGCGGGCGCCATCTTGGGTACCCAAGATAGTTATGCGCCTACTTTGAGTCCAGTGGATAGAGTCCTGGGTCATTTCCTGTGGGACACAGGTCTAATGAATGTGACACTAAGCAGGCAAAAGATGGATTTGCCTGTAATACTGATCTCGGGCCAAAAAAATTGGTTGCATGATCAGTTATGCCAATCAAATATATATGTGCTGCAAAACTAGCCAAAGGTGCAAATTTTGCTAGCAGTCCTTTTTTCGGAAAATAGATGAAAATTATGTTTGTGATGACGAATGCCAATCATTATGCCGGCGCAATCTATCAAAGCCTACCTACGTCTTACAAGAAATCACAACGATTGCGAGAATAGGCTTAGGGCTTAGGCAGGATGTAAAAGAGACTGTTTTTTTAACTGCCCGTAGTCGTGAGTTTTACTTGACTGCACATATGCGCAGCAGGACAAGGTGAACCAACATATGATCTGTTAGATAAAGGGCACACGGGTTATACCTTGTATTGTTTTCCAACTGACCGGGTATGTTTTCCCCTTTTAAGATAACAGTAACTCAACTATCAGTTCCCTTATCAACAATGATGACATCTGGAAACCTCGCATGAGAGAGGTAAGAGCTTGATTATGGATAACCGGTTATTATTTCTATATTGCTATTGCTATGAGGTGCACAGTACCTACCGAAGAAAGTGCAACCAACGACGCGCGTATTTTCCTTGTTGGTTCTTGTATATTGTTAATACAATCTACATTGGAGTAATTCATATGTCAGAAAATTTATTTACTTTCAAAATAAATAAATTTTACCAGACAAAAATTGGTAGGGAGGTCAGAGAATCACAAATAGTGATCAACAGTGCCTGTCTCAATTATATCTAAATTTTGCTAGGATCAAGTGATCCTCAAGGAATGGGTTGCCAGAAATAGCCGGTCCGCTGAAAATAAAAAAGATTATGAAGAAGAAGCTACAGACGGACAAGTATAACGCTCGTGAACAGCATGTAGAGCATGCAAAACGTATTTAGCCACAGTTACACATTTTTAACCCAGACACCAAAAGAGTCGACTGTTCGCATTCCAGGCATATCCTTATTCAGTATTTTTTATCTTACATGTATATTAAAGATCCAAGGTGCCATAATGGTTTCATCGTTGTTCCAAATTGTCATTGGTTTCACTGGTCTTGTTGGCTTTCTCCTTCGCTTCATCGGACCACTGACCATAGCACCAACAATAACCCTGGTGGGCGTGGCACTCTTCAAAGTAGCAGCTGGAAATGCAGGTACAGTCGAACCTCGCTTTACTGACACCTCGTTATTAAGGACAATTTCATTTGTGCCTGGGGAAAGCCCTTACATTTTCTCTAAATTCAACCCGCTTAATACGGACACCCGCTTTAATGCGGACAAGGGACACTTGTTTCTTGCCCAATCAACAGATTATCATTCATAACGCTAATGCTAATGTATAATTCATAATGCTAATGCGGACACTTCATAATGAACTTTCTGCTAAAATGGACGTCTCCTTTTAAAACCCTTCAGTTGACAGCATGTCAATGTTCCCAACGCTAGATTACACCAGATAGGATGAATTGTAGACGTCAATTTCAGACTATTTTGGCATCAAACGAGTTATGCAGAGAACGGTTTTGATTAAGCAATACACGTATATAGATAAGGTCGATTTTCAGGGGCCGACGGAGGATTTTGTGATAGAGGGGGCGTAGAAATATAATATACAGTGGCAAAATGGGCGCGATAGCGTCCATCAGGACTGCGAACGGCGAGGGGAACGGCCCACTTTTCTAGAGAGTTTCGGGCGCATGCTCCTGCGGGACAAGTTTTGTGATTGAAGTTCTCTGACATGCAATCTAGTGCATTCTGGACGCTTAAATTTAGCAAAAGCCTGGATTCCATATTGAACATGTAATGCTGAAATATTTAATAAACCACAGGTGTGGTTGTAGTCGAAGAAGTAAAAACTTTATGATCCTAGCAGGGGATGAAGCGGTTGCCGCGAGAGCACAACCTCCCGACAAAGACAACGTTCGACAAATTTTCTTATTAACAATGTTTATTAAAGAAAATATGTTTAAGTAAAAATGCTCGAATTACCATCCCACACACTTTTACAAAAAAAAAACTTCCCGGACAAAAGGGAGGCCGGGGCTGCCTGAGCCCACTCCTAAATCCGCCCTTGCAGCCCTTGGATTTCATCCACAGACTCAAAAGTTAGAACTAAATATCAAATAAATAGTACCATGTGAAAGTGCTGCAGAAGAGGTTTCATTTGAATGGTCACGCACTAATAGCATTAGATCCACAGTCTCAAAAATGAAAGCAAGTATGTACGGTTAAAATGAAGAGGGTTTTTCTTTTTTTCAATGGTCAAACTATAGGATTTTGATCACAGACTAAAAAATTAGTACTATTACATGCCTTCATAATTGGCCACTCCAGAAAATACCATAACATACCATAATGTTCTTTGTTTGTCAGCCCAAAATTTTGCATAAGCATTGTTTTCAGTTTCTCTTCGGACCATTTTAACTCCCAAGAGAAACTGAAGACAATGCTTATGCAAAATTTTGGGGTGACAAACAAAGAGCATTATGGTATGTTATGGTATTTCTGGAGTGGTCAATTGACTCTGATACTCTTTTCAATGTTTATAGGCAATCACTGGGGAATTTCAATGGCGTAAGTACATCTTTACAGAAAAGTATTTGGTATTTTTCAGATATAATGCAAAAATATATAGGGCCGTTTATACGAGAGAACATAAGCCGCGGCTTATATGAGACGCGAACACCCTGTATAAAAGGTGCAAAATCTACGTTCACGGCCTATTCAACCCACGGCTAGCTCAAGCCGCGGCTTATCCTGGCCGAGGCGTTTTGGGCTGGGCGTAAACAAGCTGCGGCTTACCGCAGACGAGAAAGTGCTCGTATAAATCGACTCAAACGTTGTCCGCGGTTTGCTGAAGCCGTCAACGATTGCTGCACATGTTCTGTTTTCAGTTATATCCCAGACCTTCACGGCCGAGAGACGCGCGCTGTAATGGCGGGAAAATGACCTGCTGTACGATAGAGCAAGAGAGCCGGAAATTTCGTCTCAACTCTACCTCATCCATTGCTGGAATATCCCTTTCAAACCACTCGACTGACCGCTGACAAACTTTTCGTCGAGGTTTCCGCACAAGTTACGCAACAACCCAGAACTGATCTTGACCAAAATGTGAATTTAAAACAAAAAAGACAGCGTAAAATATGGTAATTTTCCTGACCAAAGCCAATCGTTTCGCTTTCTTGCTCGCTCGAGCCACTGCTGCAAATTACACGAGGCACCAAAACAAGCTACGTCATCATTGAACCGGTCTGACCGCGTTCTAAGCCGTGAACCATTTATACGAGCAATTCGCGTCTTATATAAGCTGTACGCGTATAAATGGTTCCCTTCGCATCTTACGTAAGCCGCGGCCATAGTAAGTCGCGGCCTTTTTTCTCTGGTATAAACGGCCCTAATTGTGTACAACCGGGGCCGCGAACGAAGAATGCGTGAAGTAGTTTTCTTTCCAACAGGAATCTGTTTTTTTTTTTTATTGAAGGTTTTTACGAAGGAAGAAGACGAGTTTCAAAAGGTAGTTCTATCTTTGTCGGGTGTTTGTAGTAAAAGCAATCTTCTTTGTTTTTCAGGACCATCGCGTTAATAGCTCTGTTTTCCCAGTACCTAACCAATGTTAAGATTCCTGTGCCAGGATATAGTAAAGATCGAGGAGGTTTCTACGTTGGTCATTACCCGTTATTCAGGCTATTTCCTGTGAGTATCTAATATTGACACGAAGACGAAAGAGAAACCAGATTATATTTTGAGCAACAATAATTTGCCGTCTGTACCCTTTGAATTGAACACATTTAATGCTTAATGACTGGTCCAGAGAGAAACAATTAATTTTGTTTTCCGAGAATCCCGAGGGACCAGTCTTTATAGCAGGAAATTCATTAAACCTCGCTGTAAAGGCGGTCGTCGGTCAACATCCGCGGGTAACAGTGCACTGTTACCCTCTGACGTCAAAGATTTTCCAATGTTACCTGCTCAGAGTTTTTGGCGGGAAACGGTTTCATTGTTAGAGGTCATGCGACCTCCAAGTAACCAATGAGAACGCGCGCTGTCAGGAAAAAAATTTCCAGCTATATTAACAAAGTACAAATATTGCTTTTTCCACTCATTTGGAATCTGGAATTATAACAACTGGCAGTACGGTTGTATAGTTGGTGCCGGGTTTTCATGAAGATGTAGTATGATTAACTGGGAAAAAGTTGACCCGTCACTCGTTAGAAAACGTATTGTTCGCGAGACGACAGGCATCCCCGACTCATCCTCCCCTTCCCACAAAGGGATCAGGGGTTCCAAACAGACTATAGGCTTCAATCACTGAAAATCTGTCTAAAGATGGCAATTTGGTATGTAAAGGTATTAAAGTACCCCTATCGCAAGTGTCCTTAAAAGGCCTGCGCTTTGAGATTGTGAGTTTCTATTTCTTATCGCTTCCATTGGAATGCAGGGATTTTATTATTCTGACCTAATTTACTATTATTCGAGACGTGAAGTAATAACATCTCGAGCCCGTCCAAAGACGAGTGATCTAGTCACGTTTTTTTGTTGTTGTTGTTTTACTTCGCGACAGTACAACAATGCAGATACCAAATCAATTAAGAAATTGTCCTCCGCAATCACTTTAATATCGCTTCTTGCTTAGAGACTCATTCCTTGTTATACGTGTTATCCTTTCCAAGATCATTCTTGCGATCGCTGTTTCCTGGATGATCTGTGCTATCATCACGGTAGCAGGAGGTTTCCCTTCAGATCCCAGCAATCCTCAGTACAAGGCCAGAACTGATGCTAGAATTGGTGTGTTGAAAGATGCAAAATGGTTCAGATTTCCGTACCCAGGTAAAGCTTGTCCGTGAACATAGTGCATAGTTTATTCCTCTTCACATGTAACTGAAGCAGCTACAATAATATCTCATACAGTGATGGGAAGTTTCACCAGCTCCCTTTGCCTTCTTTCCGATAGTTAACCAGAAGAGTTCTGGATTCGTTTACATAGAAGGAAGTACTGCATCCCATTCTGGACCCGAATTCTATTCGGACTTGAGCAGTGATAATACTTGTTGGTATTCAACACAGGAATCAAAGAAAAAGTGTCATCCAAGAGCAAAGAGCTAAAGAAGACGATCAAAACTCCCACAATACTCGTCAAATTTCTTTGAAACAATAGACTGAAACTGAGGATTTCTCATGTCACGCCTTCTCAACCAACTTATTTAACTTTTCCCAGACTGTACTTCTTCCTTCCTTCCCTAGTGTTGAGATTCGCGTATACTTGCAAATGGGTTACGGTAAGATTCCGAAAATAAGCCCCGGGGCTTATATTTTTCGAAGGCCCTTTTTGAGGGGCTTATCGACGGAACGAAATTTGCGTTTCAAAATCGATAGGGCTAGCCTTATGGTTGGAAGTAAATGTACCGTTTTTGCTTTGTTTGACTTTGTATTTGAGGACAATTTTCCAAGTACAAGCCCCCGAGGGGCTTATATTTGAAGGGGCGATTTAACGGAGGGGTTTTGCGTTACCGGTTTGGGGGGCTCATATTTGGAGGGGCTTATACATGGAGGGGCTTATTTTCGGAATTTTACCGTATACGTGAATTAACATTAGGGAGGGTGTAACTGGCAAGTATTTCAAAAGATGTGACGCGTGTTGTAGTTATGTTGGCTCACAAATCTGCTAGGTCATGGGTGTCCCGTATCATACCCCCTCCCGCCCCCGCCCACCTCCAAACCATGCACCACCGCCATCTTCGAGTACAAGTGTTATAGTCGCTTCGGGCAAGTCTTAACCTTAATAATGGAACAATTCTAGTATTTATACCTTTGTGTTGTTTAACCCAGGTCAATGGGGAATGCCCACTGTTAGTGCCGCAGGAGTGTTCGGGATACTCGCCGGTGTATTAGCCTCCATCATCGAGTCTGTAGGAGATTACTACGCCTGCGCGAGATTATCAGGAGCTCCCCCTCCTCCAAAACATGCGATCAATCGTGGGATTGCCTGGGAGGGGATTGGATGTCTTTTAGCGGGAGCTTTTGGAACTGGAAATGGGACAACCTCATATAGTGAGAACATTGGAGCTATTGGTATCACTAAGGTACATCAGGCAATCGTTTTGCAGTTTAATTATGTCATGTTTTGTTTACTAAAGTGAAACATGTCATGGGACCTTCGCTGATGCAAATGATAAAACCCATTTCTCATTACTACTCCGATGCATCACCCCTCGTTTCTTAAGAACCTAACCCTTTTATTAGAAGCGTGCTTTGCTAATAAGGGGGTGACTGACACAGGACAAGAGACAAACTACTCAACTAGTGGTCAAAGTGTGAGTTAACCGGTTATCGCAGGATTATCAGTGCACGGTACCCTTACCACACGAGTGCAGTTGCGGATCTATAATGGTGTTGGCTGTTACCAATCAGCCTCGAAACAAAACGTTAAGTTTAATTCATTTGTATTATGGTGTCCTCTTAATGTTGCAATTGAGAAAGAATGGAAAGGAACCTAAAATTTTACAACGCCGGAAAATAGATTAAATACTTACATAACTACTCGAAAATCTTGTACTCTCTCCCTCGCAGCACACGATATCACGCCAAACACGGAAATAAAGCACAAATAAAACCTCTCTAACAAACACATTAATCGGCCATCTGCCCTAGACCCGCCCCTGGACTGAGGTATATATACAATCAACCTCGTCTCCAGGGCTTAGTGGTACTTAGTGCCCCCGGAAGATGGAAAAAGGTAACATTACTTAAAGCATTCATGGCACCATTACAATTTAAGTTTCACTTCTAACTTACCTTACACTACTTCGTTCTTAGGTTGGTAGTCGTCGAGTGATCCAGTGGGGTGCTTTTGTTGTAATGACTGTTGGCATTATTGGAAAAATAGGCGCGCTCTTTGTCAGCATTCCAGATCCTATCGTCGGTGGAGTTTTTATGGTCATGTTTGGTATGATCTCCGCCGTCGGAATCTCTAACCTACAGTTTGCTGACATGAATTCTTCCAGAAACTTGTTTATAGTTGGTTTTTCTATTGTTTTTGGATTAGCGCTTCCGTACTACATGGAGAATAATCCAAAGGCCATCGACACAGGTATGTACGGGGATTTCAGGAGTTTAAGAGTTTGAAAGGGTAGAAAAACGATTCATTTAGGTAGTTAAAGGGGCCTATAATCAAAATATTTCGCGCGGACACAGCTTATGGCGTTACCATTTTAATCATGTTCTCCCATTATATGCCAAGAGTTAGAAAAGTGAAGCAAATTTTCAATCAGGTATGAGAAAGGAGTACCATATTTCAATGGAAAGTATAGTTTTTCAAGAGTAGCCTGCTCTAGGCTCCAAGATAGTAGTGCAGTCGTTCAGTCCAAAAAGTGATGTGAAAAAAGCGCGGGGGCTGGGGAGAGAGAGGGCACCAGATCGTGGGCGGGATTCGCGGCGTCTCTACTACCTGACAGCCTGGAACACGCTATAAAAGTGTTCTGATTATTTCAATAGGTGTGACAGAAATCGACCAGATAGTTACTGTTTTGTTGAAAACAAGCATGGCTGTAGGATGCATAGTAGCGTTGATTCTGGACAATACCATTCCTGGTACTGAAGAAGAACGCGGGCTAAAAACATGGCGGCAACACCTGGGAGACGACGAAGGCGAAGAGCAGTTTGAAACTGCTTCCGTTTCCGTGTATGATCTTCCGTTTTGTCTTAAGAGACTAAGTCATTGCAGAGCGGCCAAATATCTGCCTTTCCTGCCGTATGAAAACGGCCAAAAAGATCTTCCAACACATGTTGGGGAGATGGACAATGACGAAAATTGCAAACTGTAAAATATACAGTGTACTTGTGGGTAGTACTCCTATAGACTGCATTGCTGGTGTTTTTGTTCGCGTAATCGCCATGTTGCTGAACCGCAATACTGAATTGCAAATAGCGGAGAGGTTATGGCCTGTCAAAGGAAGGGGTTGTAATTTCTACTCTCCCCAATTTTCTTCGGTGATAAACTCAAAGATGGCGGCCACAGCACAGAGAGGAGAAGTCGCTACGTCCCGTTGTCATGGTAGCAAAATTTCTGGATCTCAAAAAATCATGGCTCTGCAAATATGACAAAAAAAGACGAAAAAATTGACATAAAGTATGACTTTCTTGTGCATAATTGCACTCAGGAACAAAGCGGTAGCCCATACTTTTCTTCCATCGTTCGACAATACAAATGGTCGTCTCTGTCACGGAAGAATGTTGAGATCAAGAAAACTTGCTACCATGGTACACCTGACGTCACAATTCTCCTCTCTGTTACGAGCAAAAACAAGGAACTTTCGCTGGCCCAAACAATACGCCAGCATTCCATAGTAGAGACTATACTAGACTATACTATACTATACTTCTAGAAACGTCGGATTTTAACCTTTCTCTTGGTTTTGCGACAATGTAACAAGGCAGCCGCGTTGGCTGACCAAACAATAAAACTTTTTGCGAACAATTTGTGTAAGAGAAAGAATTTATTTCCGATCCCAGCGGAGGGAAACTCACTTTTGTTGTTGTCAGATCAACCAACATGGCTGCCGTGACGTAAGCAACAACAACAACAACAATAAGCTTTATTTGCATGACCGTAACAAAGTATTACAGTATTGCAAAAGCTACTTGAAGTTAATCATTGATTCCTTGTAAATTAAATATTTAAAATCATTTGAAACTTATTAATCGTTGCTTATTTCTAACCATCAGTAGGATTAATTATTCCGGAGATAAATTTGTCTCTCAATTCAAAGCAAGTTGATATAAATGAAATTAATTGGATGTTGATAAAATAGTCAGTAGAATTCATCAGATGTGATAATAAGGTCTCATGTGATTGTAGTCGTAGAAACGGTATTTTAGGTTCTAGTTTAGAGAAGAACATATCTCTTATCGAAGAAAAACTTGGACAATCTAATAAAAAGTGAGTTTCATCTTCAATTCTGTTACAATTGCAGAGATTGCATAACCTTTCGTCACGTGGTATATTGTCGTATCTACCTGTCTCAATCCTAAGTTTGTGACTGCTTATTCTCAGTTTCACTAATGTTTTCCTAGAAGGGTTCTTTCTTGTTAGATCTAGGTAGACAGAACGGCTATAATTCGTTTTGATTTTATAATAAAAGTTAAGTTTTTGTGAATGTTGAAGGGTATGATTCCAGTAAGTGATATATTTCTTTTGCATAAGATCCACATATTGCTTAATTTTACATTTATTCAGTAAATTACAATTAAAGCCTGGGAAATCATAAGAGTCAGTCATCTTCTTAGACTGGAGTAAAAACTATTTTGACCACTCTTATAAAAGTCAACAGATATTTTTAAAGATTGTTTAACTATAGAATTTTCATCTTTTTCTTGGAGATAGTTTAAGTAATTAAGTGTCTTGTTATTTATATCAATGATCAAAGGGAATCTGCCAAGTTCAGATCTGCATGCAACATTGGATGACTTGTTATGGACTTCTAAATATCGTTTACAGAAGTGTAAATGAGTTTTTTCGATTCCGGAGTTATCCCATGACTTAAAATCTGATTTCACAAATGGGTAGCTCACGCAAGCAAAGGCGTTTTTGAGCGACACACGTCACGAGTCAGACCTTTTTACCTTTTAATATATCTTAACGCTCCAAAATTGAATTGCTAAGTGTCTTTACCCTTATGGAGATGATTTGCCCGAAAAGACAGCAAAATCACTGCCCAAGAATGCAAAAAGTTTATTTCCGGTTGACATGCGTTGCTTCAGCTCCCAAATATATAACTTATGCGAAACTAACAGATGCCTTGCTTTTGCTTTGTGCCTACGGCTAATAAACGACACTATAATGAAAGAAATTTGCAAAAGCTAAGGAAATTGAAAGTTCTTTAATTCACTGTTCAAAGTATAATATATTGCCAATGTACAGTTAGTTTACTGAACTTTTTGAAAGTTTACCAGAATAGTTACAGTTAGTTGCAATTGGCGCCTTTTGCTCGTATTCAAAGCATTTTCAACGACAGGAAGGTTATTATCTTTTACAATATATAATTGACTAGATATTTTAAATATCCTTGCCGATTTTTCACTGAACAGCAAGTAAAATCTCGGTAAATCAAGCGAAAATCACTTCAGACGTTTGACGAGGTTGACTTTTTGCTAGACTGACAGCAAGTGCTCCTTTATAACGATCGCCACGCGAATAAACCGCATTGAAAACGTGCTCAGTTTCTCTGTTCGTTCGCTTTTTCTAGTCTTCCGTGACTAACTGCAAGCTGTTTGTCTTGCTGCTCAGGTGTTGTACAACATTGTTGTGTTGTACGACATGTACAGTTGTACAATAATACTCAAGAGACATCTAAGTCTACAAAGATGTAAAGAGCATGCTAATTACTGAGCCAGGCTTTGTTCTTCTGGACTTGATAGTTCAAGTCATTGATATGAGGGACAATTTCAATTCACAATTAACGCCCCGCCAAAAAAATTGAATACCTCGAACGTCAACCAAGTAATCCTACAAACATGAGTGTGATATGCTAAATTTCAGAATACCCGACCACTTCTTTGCATATCATTGAATACTAAAAGTGCCTATTGTGTTGACCTCGTTCTTTAAAGCGTTTCGACAAATGTAAATGATGTGGCCGTGGTATTCTGAAATTGCTCCAAAAAATGAATTGGTCACGTTTAGTGCTGTTGAATTCCACTGAAGATTACCACTGGCACGCCATCGTGGTTTTTCTTCAGTAAATCGGACTTTAAACCGACCGGCCAGCGTAGTAACCATGCAGCAGTCTTGACCTGCTCCATCGCATTTAGAAGACTAAACTATTTCTCCTGGAAGCTGAGTAGGTCAGGAAAGGAAGCAAAATGATAATCCAATACGGCTTTGAGGTAAGACGAGCAATACTATGAATCTAAGTGGATCGAGTAACACGGAACAACCGTAACTCTTACTGCCATGATTACATTCGGTTTTCTCTCGATCGTACATGTTTCAGCTCTCGCTCACGAGTGGCAATATTTCACGCTCCCGATGACCAGCAACATTTCACTAACTCCGCAGAAGCTTTCGATCTCTTTTCCTTTCGAAACTGTTTTCAGTTTTCTTTCAAAAATATTGACTCTTGTTATAAACTTGACTTACTTCACAAAGGAGAGAAAAGTAAGGAGATGATCAGAAACAATTTGAAGACGACCTGACCACACCAAATGTCCTGACTGGTCAGCCCCTGGTCAGAAGATTTTGGCGTCAACAATGAAATTAACAGGACTGGCTAACTGTAATCGCTCCAGCTTCTTTTATCCTTTTGACCTGCAGGTTTTACGGGATTTTCGAAAATAACAATTTGAATTGCTATGTATTCGTGGGACAGTGTTTTCAATGTTTTCTCGGTAACTAGAAACACCAGGCTTGTCTGCCCTGACCTGCTAAGCGAGTGGATTAAGTTGAGATTGACATATTTTGGATAGCCTGCGAGCAAGCTCTCCTATTTGGGCGAGTGAAACGAGTCTCGCGCGTTCTCGCGAGGCTCGCTTCGCTATATTTTGCATAAATCTCACAAGTGTTGCTTTTAAATCTCGGCGGAATTCAATTCGATCGAAAAAATTCATCAGTTAGATTGAATTTCTTTGGACTCTGACTATCTTATTATCTATTATTGATGTTTAGAATGTTTTTAGAGAAACACAGTTAAGACAGTGTTGGTAGGTTAATTCAATGCTTAGTTCTCTAAATCCCAATCCTCACTCATATTGCCTGCCTTCTCAGTGAGTTCCAGTCCTCTTTCCTACTTATTCACTTGCGCTATCTCGGTCCAAATGCGTCGAATACCTGATCACACTACACTAAAGTGTGTCACAGAACCTTTTCGCGCGCAGCTTCGCTCCGTTAAAGAAAACTCCATTCTTATTTGTGAATAGGAGCCTTTAATATCGGGTCTGATTTTCTTGCCGACGCAAAAGGATAGCCCGGGGCGGACATGCCATCCACGCCCTAATGACCTTACTAGCCCCGACAAACTGAGAAACTTGACATGGTTAGCGTCACTAATTAAGGAGCTAAGATCAACACAATCTAGTGCTTTTGATCTAGTACAAAGTCCAAGTTGTTGTTGACGTGTTATATAATCGAGCCGGTTGCGTGAGAAAACCTCCGAAGTCCGATGCTCGCCGTTTCGTTGCGACGAAGGTCGGAAGAACTAAAAACCTGTGACTAGCACCTTCTTTTTCTCTTTCACAGAAAAACTTCATGCTAAAGGCACCTGACGATCAACATCACGAATTGCCACGTGCGTCGGTGTTACCGCTCGTGGACAAAACACCCATGCTATTATTATGATAAGACTAACTTGCGTGCGATCTGTATAATTTGGTCACGCTACGGTGCTTATTTTACTGCCCACTGAGCGGCGCCCGTTCCGGAGATGTCCACATTTTAATTCGCGCGTTATCGTACACTGAAGTCTTTGCTTTTATAACTGTCATCAAATTCATAGGCTTTGTGAAAGCGGCGCTTAAAGGAAAATAATGGTAAAACAAGAAATCGAGGTAAGGCAAACAATATTAACAAGTAAAATCGGTTACAATAAGTATCGCCGGCGTGCTGACGACTTTAATAACTTTAGCTCCATATCAATACTTGAGCAACTAACATCAACAAAACGACTTTACCACAGCAACCACAGGCAAAAAAGCAAATAACTTACAACTACCCTCCAAGCTAAAACCTACAGATACGTAGGTCTGAACCGATACACTTGTTGTTCTGTATTTGAACCTGACTTATCTTAGAATCTTTTGATAACAGGAACGCGGCGAAATGATTTTAAAACTTCCACTGAAACTAGTAGAGTCTCGAAAACAGAGACCTCGCACAATTGATCTATAGTTTGACGATCTTGGTTTATGAAAACTAGTTGAAGTCCTCTCGATTCTTTTATGTGTGCAGCCTTTTACGTGCAGTTAGCAAATCGTAAATCAGGGATAACAAGATTTGCTGCTTTGAATCTAAGAGTAAATTGCCTCGATTCAAAGGTCACAAGCCATTACATTCACTTATACTGTCTGGATGAATTTTCGTCCGTAAGCCTAAGGACAAACCATGAATACTAAGAAAAAAACAGAAAAAATGTATTTTGCCAAAAAGGTATTACTGATTTCGGGCGATTGTTTATGAGCTTCTTTAATTCATTTACTTACTTCAGTCACGTGCATCTGTTAATCAGTCATTATTACCACCCTGTCCTCAAGCGATCTAAGTATTGCTAGTCTAGCTGATAAAGAAGGAAGGTTCAAATCACTGCATTTCTGCGTACAGACAGTTTTCCTTGCCTGCTGAATTATGTGACCCAGGTTTAAGCACTTGGGCTACCTGTGGCACGTTTGACGAAAATTCATCTTTTAAGTTATTTTCAGGATAATTAACGAGTCAATCACTTTTGCAATAGAGCACTAAAGTGATGACGTCATAAAAAATACAGTTTAGTATAGTATATTCTTGTTTTAAGTTACACTCCTTGGTTACACTGTTTATCATAACCAACATAAACCTGAAACCACAACCTGCTTGATGTTGCTTGGCTAAACGGGTTCTTATAAATTTGGGTAATGAAGTGTCAAGCTTCTGTCAGCAGGAGGTTCTTAATCCACAGGTTCTTATTAGCGGGTGTTTACTGTATTCTACTGTAGATGGTTTTGCAGTCAGAGTGACACAGGATCCTCGGAAGAAAAAATCGAAGTAATCTCAGTTGGTTTTAGCCTTTCACGCAGACGTTCTTAAGATTGCGTGAAGAGCCAAAAGTTAATGGGAGTCGAACCTATGACCTTTTAGTCATGACCAGAAGGTCACAGGTTCCTCGCGTGTTTCCTACTATTTACTCACCAGCTTTAAAATTCTGTTATCAAAAATTTCTGTTATATTCATGTAAATAAAGTTCACATTTTTTTTGTAGACGTGCGCACTGAAACAAACTCGCTCTACGCACTTTCGGCCCCGACAGGGTATCTTTATTTTAAACTCTCAGTCAACAGTAAACTTTATTCTTTCATTTCTGTCTAAAGGTATATTAATACTTTTTCTGTCACCATAACTCAAATTCATTCTTTTTCACCTCTTTAATAAGACCAGCTTTCTCGTCTCGCGGCCATAAACGTGTTCGTCCCTTCCGCCCAAATAGTTATTTTCTGCGCTAGAGGTGATTCTTCAGTCATTCAGAATACTATGTCATGTTATCCGTCTGCATGAGGCAAATGTTTGGAAAGAAATTTCTTCTCGTACCCGCTCACGGTCACATTTAAAGGACACTAACTCGCGCTTCCGATTAACGGACAGTGGCCCATTATGGTCCTTTTTTCTAAAGAGGAATATTTTTCGCCAAAATTGTATTATTCATCACTTAGGACGCTGTTAATACTGAAGACGTCATCATGAGTTTTGCGTATATGTGCGTGGGTTATGCGTGGGCTCAGTTACTCCATTGTGACCTCATTTAAAAGTTGCAATTTTGACCTTTTAACGACATCTCTCTCGCAATAAAAATTGTAAGAGAGGCAGATATTTAAATATTTTCCTGATTGAATTTCAAAAAAAATTAAATATGCCGAACTGTAAAGAAAACGAAACAGAAAATACTCAAAGTACGCAAATATTGTACTCTTCCGTAATAGTGTCACGTTTAAGTTGTTTTCGTAAATGAACATATTGCTCGTGTATTTTCTTTGGCTTTCTTCTTGAGTCCTTTAGATTATATTGTTCTCCAAGTTTGTTGTTGTTGTTGTTGTTGTTTACCACGCGGACGTTGTTAAGGGTTCGTCACGAGTGGGGCAGGAACGCGTGACGAACCCCAAAGAACGTCTGCTTGGTAGGCTCTGAAAAAGATAGCGGGATGAGGGATTTTCGTGAAAAAGGAGCGGGGATACGGGACCAAGATCCTCCCCTTTTCAGTCCCTGAGCCAGCGATCCTGATTCCTGCTCCGAAGATAAGGTTCTGATGAGGATGATATCAGATTAGACAGGAAAGAAAGGATGAAGAAGTTTTGTAGAAGATGAATGTTGTCATATCTTAAACCTAGTCCATACTACACCGACACGAAATTAAAGCTATCCACTATACCATAAAAACCCATCCAAAATGTGACTCCCGTCGTTAGAAATCGGTTAGGGGGCAGCTTTGCTCCTTTAAAGAAATCGCGAAGACGAAACCTCCGTTCTTTGTGAACAGAAGTCCAATCTGGTATGGTTTTCGTGCCGTTATAGAGCATAGCCCTAAAGTCCTCCCTCTACATCATATCTTGTTTTTAGCTGGCACAGTCGGATGATAAACCGGAAACCGAGAAGATTAAAACAAGAGCTCTTGGTCTGTCATACCTGATTAATGAGAACCCGCCATGGTACATCTGCTTATTGCTTGGTTTTCAGGTAAGCTTATTTTAGGTCTTTCAGAGGCCGGCAGCCTATGCCTGGATTTTGCTTTTCGTTATAAATTCTTAAATGCCGCTTTTTATCAACTAATCAAGCGTGATCGTTTATTGTTATTGCTCCCAGTTCAGTAATATACTGGCGTAAAAAAATCTTAAACAAGTCTTATGGAAAGACTAATCACTACAACTGAACATAGCATTTTTCACATTCGCGTATATTTAAAATCACCTCCATGCTTACTTTGTCGAGGATTAACAAAAAGATCACTTCCCAATTAAACCATTTATAATTTTTCCTTTACACCTTATCCCCAAATGGTGGCAAATCATTTTGCCTTCTTGACAATTTGCCTCAATACTCGTTTTAAATAAAATAAATAAATAAAGTGTCTTTATTGTTCAAAAGATAAAATTACATATCTTATGTTACATTTAAATATAACAATGTTAATGGGCTAAAGTATGTCTCTAAATAAGATTAGAATTTACATAGAAACAAATACAAAAATCGAATATAGAAAGTACACTATTTACAAAACTACATTATACTTGAAGACAATTCTATTAAAGAATGTATTCTTAAAACGGTCCGTGTGAATGGCGGGCATTGGGAGAGATTTATTCCTTAAGTTGTATCTTGTAATCTTAGTCTCAGGGAAGTTAGCTCTAAGAGGGTGGTTCGGGATACTAGAAACCTTCCTACAAATTCTATGATCTTGCACTTTAAGTAATTCACCTATCTCTAATTTCTTGGATATGTATCTGCGTTTAAAACATCGATCTAAAAACTGCTGGGCTATAGTTAGCTTAAAGATGAAAGTTCTTTTGAATTCCAAATGCAAACAGTTACAGCAATAGTAACGGCCTATACAGATTAACTTTATTAAATCGTTTAGAAAAAAGAACAGCGAGGAGAGATGCACACTAAAATAAACTACAAGTTCGGCCTCTTTCAATCTGACAGTAAAAATTTTTTTCCTTGTTTCAGCACTACCTGACCATGTTAGGAGGAACATTAGCAATTCCTTTTATCATAAGCGGCCCAATGTGTTTTGCCAATAACACTCTCGCTATAAGCGAGGTCCTGAGCACCATATTCTTTGTGTCAGGACTTGTGACAGTGTTGCAGGCTACGTTCGGAGTCAGGTTTGTGTTTTCAAAAGGTTGAGAATGTTAGAGCGATTTTCGTATGACCTTGAAAATGGTTTCGGTAAGTGTTCGTCGTTTGTTTTATCAGCCAATGGATGAAAAGATCAAAACATGAACCCTTCGTTTTCCCGCCAAAGAAAACCCTAATATGGAGAAGGCATTGTTCGATCGGCCAATCGTGTTGCAGTATGGCGTCAAATCGAAGTGTCGATTGATTTTTAGAAAGTTCTTCGGGCATAAGGTTTTTACAGCCGAGCCTTCACTAAACCAACCAAAAGCCACGCGCGTTTGTATCCGTTCGATAAACCAATCAAGTAGCTCTATTTCCTTTCGCTTGCTGCTTCTGTTTTGTTCGCTCGTTTTCATTTCAATGTCATACGAAAATTGCTATATCTACTGGATATGATTCTATACAGTGGGTAAGGCAAATGATTTCCCAAAGATCCTTAAAGCTAACTAATCAACTTATCCACTAGACAGCGATTTACCGACTGACTGGATATTTTGAAGACTTTAAAATAGACCTTACTCACGATACCCGCCATTTCTGAGCGCGCCTAAGGATTGATGAGATGGAAGCAATGTCACGTGGTATTTCAGGGGGTCAAACAAGTGATAGAATTTGCCGATACGAGTAATCGAGGTCGAGTTTCTTTATTTTCTCAAAACAAGTACACGATTTTAGTGATGCAAAATGTACAATTCGACATTCGATAAGTTTTACATTATTTTTGATTGCTATGTGAACACCTGACGGTCGCTGTTCCATCCAAAAAAAGAGACAATGATCGCCTCCAACCAAAATTTTCCATTATCGTCTTTAAGATAAAAATTTCTAAATTTTCTGTTTTCTAGACTAAACAAACGCGACCATGATTTCTTGCATTGGTAAATTTTATCCTTTGCTTGCCTCTCGACCACGAAGCCAGTGGGAAACGATATTCTATGGACGTGTGGGTTATCTACAACCTT